TAAATTTTTTCCGCGCTCAGTCACAAATATTCTAGTAAAACTTGTTTATTGATATACATAGGAGTTTCTAATAAACTTGTTATTTACGGGAATAAAACATGATTTAAAATGGCAATTTGAAATGTCTGAGCATGAAATATTATTATTAGAAAAGTCATATGTAACATGATATTTTTTGTCGAAAAATTCCTGATACTTTTTTACAAATAACAATGAAGTAGTTACTAGTATTGGATATATAAAAGACTAAATTTTCTTTATTGATTGGTGTTGATTTTTCAGTACTAACTGTCCTAAAAAAGACGTCAAAATGACAGCCTTTTAAATGACGTCTCGTTGTCGTTATAAAAATGGCGTCAATAAAGACGTGATTTCTTAGTCAATGACGTTTCCGACCGAATAATGACGTCATTTTGACGTCATCATATTCACTGGGATGACACCTCAAAAGTTTTACACTGACTTGTCTGCTGGTTAGAGGTTCATCCAAGTTTCATATTTCAGTCTTAAGTCTGATAACCTAAGATACAAAACACACATTTTTTTGTGAATCGCTTACGAAAAAATGAAATAATTTTGTGTCTCTAAAAACATTGGAAGTTGGGGACCCAAAAAATCTTAGCAGTATTATATTGCACTTTCAATTGCAAATAAAAATGGCGTCAATGTAGACGTCATTTTTTAGCCAGTGACGTTTCCGACCAAAAGTGACCAAATAATAACGTCAATTTGGCGTCATCATGTTCACTAAGTTGGTAACGAGTTATTAGAATTTTCATTTCGAAAAACAACTTTGTTATTAACGACTGTCGTGTTGATTTGCCAACAATGTTTGGTTGATAATATCGTTGAACGATTTTTGTTATCATTGCTCTCGATATATTTCATGAAATACTCGATTATTTCATCAATTTTACGATATGGCCTCGACATCGTAGACAGGGACTCATGATACTCGAGTCGTTAAGAGTGGTAAATGTATCATGAAATTGGTTATATGCTGATGCTTACAAACGACGACAAATACAAAATTTAAAAGTAAGTTGTGCTTGACGAAAATATCTTTGTCAAAATTTTATTTAAGTCTCTCAGAATTGATAATGCCGGTACAAGTACCAATAAAATGTTGTGAACCAAAGATCTGTATATTTTAAGCATCCCAAAATTTTATGACCGAACATGTTCCAAGGCACCATTTCTTGAAACATACAAAGCTTATGTTTGTATTTTTTACTTATAATACGAGTATTTCTTATGTTATATTTTGTCTCAAAATTCATTTATCTTGACTCACCTAGTGATGGCGCAAGAAAAAGTGCTGACTAGTCTTCAGAATCCAAAATATTTTTTAGGACCTAGTTTTCATGAAATGTGTAAATGTTATATATGTTGTTTGGTATAAAGATGTGCAATGTATGTGCTCTCATTATTTCTAGTTACCAAGTAGAAAAATATATTCGGTAATCCTCAAGGAAAGCTCTATATTTGAAGAGTGGTTTTCTTTGTCGTGTCAAAAAATTACCATTGAGGATTACTTCAATATAATTTATTTTTTACAGTATTAACTAAGCCTCATATTTAAAGTATCCCAAAGAGATTCCTATGATAAAAGGCAAGTTGTGCATAAAAAATTATTTCAGATATTGTACAATTCCCCCAGCTTTGGCTCGCATAGTATAATATACGTTCATACTTTTCTGTTAGAAATTTCGTCTTTAGATTAGCATACTAAAGAAAGAAAAACCGTAATTATAATTTATAAACAGATAATATTTATTATCGTTATGCCAAAGAGTCGAATAGATATAAAAAAACATGAATTGTAATTTTACATGTACATAAATATATTTTACACCCTTAATAAGATATGTTGTGTGTTTTAAATAATAAATAATATATAACTCAACTGACTACATATTTTTGTTCAAATCACTTATCCTCGATTGTCAAGTGAAGTAGTCTGTATCGGCTATCTTGGCCTATGTTACTGATATATGGCGGCCCATACATATGCAGATATAGATCGGTCGACATAAAGCCGATAGATACAAATCACAAAGTTGAAAACGTTTGATATCTCTTGTACATCCCGGTACAATCAGCCGATATCACCCTGTACATGAACATTCACACCACCCTGTACACTCAATCCAAAGTGACGCCAGCGTGTGCGCATGTGCAGACAGACATTCTGGTGCTACGATTTCGTTGTATCTGGCCCGGTACCCCGTGGGTGAAATCGTGAACCAGGAATGGGAGGGGGAGGGGAGCACTCACGCTTGAACCTCTGGACGCAACACGTCGGCTTCCGGATCTACCAATCGATCGCGCGCTCGACCAGAGGTGAAAAAGACATTACTAACCTGTTGAATGTATATACATTATAAGTTTGTATCCAGTCCAAATTCAATAAACGTTGTTTCAAGAAAATAAAGCGTTATATGCGACATGACGAACATTCAAAGCATAATGGTACTTTTCGAGCTGACTAGAACTGTGGATACGGAACTTAAAGAATCGTGAATGTGTGACGATGAGGCGCCAGGACACAACCGCTACCAGGACAACAAGACACCCTCCAGCAGTCAAGGGCAGTAAGTCTTTCCTATTTTCCATTTTTCCTACCATTCTCCTAAAAAAGAACAGACGCACATTCGGCGTTGGTTCACCTCGAGAGGAATCGGGGGGAATTTCTTCAATCGTATCAATAATCAATTATATCGCTAATGCAATCAGTAAATCAATAAAATGACTGAAGACGTATATACCATTGTCTAGTCTGAGAGACATTTGATCCTCGAGCGGAGACAGATCAAAGCGGCGTTAACAAGGTTCATAACGTATGGTATATCTGAAGTCACTTGAAATAGCATAAAAACCTTTGGTCGGTGCGTCCTTTGTAATTTCATGACGTATCATAGGCGTGCGGAAATTTATTTAGAACGATAATAATAATGTTTTTATATCACAATAAATGGATTTTACTATCTTCTTATTTTTTTGATTTGGGATAAAAAATACTTATATTGGGAGTTTAATTTATGTTGACTGAAAGTTAAAAAATCGAAAAATTACAGAATTCCAACGTTTGACATAGGCAAATATTTACATAGCAGGTAGGTATATAAAAAGGTATATAAAGACTTACATTATAGGTATTTATATATCATCCTCGCCTTCGGAGCTGTCGCTAGAGTCATCTTGTAGAGGAATTACAACGGGATTTACAGGAGGCAAAACACAATATTCATTTTCTTTTTCAATAATATGCCTAGAACACTGCTTCCATAGGTCTGTGGCAGCAATATGAGATACTGCATCTCTTATTGTGGCCAATAGCGATTCACTTAATTGAGGGGTCTGATTATGTTTTCTTACTTTTTTTTTAAAGCAGCCCAGACCAACTCAATCGGGTTAAAAATGCAGTAATAGGGAGGTAGACGTAATACTTCATGGCCATTTTGCTGAAGCAGATTGTTAACAACATACTCTTTTTCAAATTTTTGTCTTTTAATAAGATCCAATAATATGACTTTGGTTGATTTTTGTGGTATTTCCATTCCCTTATCCTTCATAAAATCAATAATGTCTTGTTTTTTTGTGCCTGTATTCGGAATTTTGTTTTTCTGTCGGGAATGGTACGGCGCATTGTCCATAATAATCACTGAATTTGGGGAAATGTTTGGTATTAACTGCTGCTCTATCCACTTTTCAAATAAGTCGGAGGTCATGTCCTCATGATAGTCGGCACATGATTCTTTGATATTTTTGGCAGATAACAGCAAGGCATTAGGTATAAATCCATTTTCACTGCCAGCATGGAGAATAATGATTCGTTTTCCACGGTTGCATGGTGCATTTAAAATGCACTTGTTGCTGTCGTCAACCCAGCCGTACTGCACAACATCATGGGTATCATACCACGTTTCATCCAGGTAAATCAGATTTCTTTTCTGCTCTCTATAGATTTTAACTTTGTACAAAAATTCTTGGCGCAATTCAACGATTCGAGACGACTCCATAATCACCATTCTTTTATCTAATTTTTTGTATTGAAAACCACACAGTTTTACAATACAGTGCAGTGAGTCTAAGCATTTGTAATTATAAAAATCTTCAGGATAATCTTTTAATTTATCCCGTATCATTTCCAACGTGGGCACCAAATTTTCTTTATAAAATCCGTATATTATACGACGAATATCTTCCTGAAAACCCACGCCTATTCTTTTTAATTTTTGCCCTATGCGCTTTCTGTGGAAAGAATGGTTGACTACATCTCCCCTTTTTATAACCCGATAAATGGTAGACCGACTGATTTTTGTCAGGATACAAATTCTGTTTAAAATTTGATTTTGCGAGGAATCTGGATTTTCGTTTTTCAGACAATCATACATATTTAGGATTACTCTTTGGGTCTGTTCCTCTAAATCTTTATGAAAGAATTCTGCCTGCACAGGTTCATCAACCATCTCCTCGTGGCTTGGAGCATTTTCCCAAGGTCTCCAAAGAGCCGTATTTAGGACACACAAGAACAATCAACACAACAATTAAATCAAGAAGTAAACTGAGTATTCAAAAGTCAAAAACACACAAACTAATAAAATCTATGAAAAAACACGGACAGACTAAAGAAAACACGTTTATTCACCGCTACACGGCACTGGCTAAACTGTTTCAATTTTCAGTAGCCACCTGCTCTTGTTCAGAGCTCTGAAATACACGCTTTCTCATTGGCTATGTCCACGCATAGGCGTGCTTTACTCCACGTGGACCGGTGAAACTGCCTTTGATCTTATATTTGCTGCGAAATTTGGCGATTTTTGCAGCAACAGAGCGTGTTAAATATAGATATATAAAACGCACCCGGTATTTCACAGTGTTTCAAGTGACTTCAGATAAAGTATACGGTGTTTGTTCGAGATACCTATAGTATCAAAAGATAGGCACACGTTGCGGTATCTAATAGACGATTTAAACAATAGTTACCGCGCGCAGAAGTTATGTCTCCTCTCGATCGACCCATCTACTTCACGTTGAAGGCCGCCGATATGTTGTACATCCAGGTGCAAACAGCCGATATCACCCTGTACATGAACATTCACACCACCCTGTACACTCAATCCAAAGTGACGCCAGCGTGTGCGCATGTGTAGACAGACATTCTGGTGCTAGGATTTCGTTGTATCTGGCCCGGGTACCCCGTGGGTGAAATCGTGAACCAGGATCCAGGAATGGGAGATGGGAGCACTCACCACGCTTGAACCTCTGGACACAACACGTCGGCTCCCGGATCTACCTATCGATCGCGCGGTCGACTAGAGGTGAAAAAGACATTACTAACCTCTTGAATGTATCGCTTATACATTATAAGTTTGTATCCAGTCCAAACCCAATAAACGTGATGTCGCCGCGAGATGTGCTTGTCAAACAGACCCGCCTGACTTCAAGCTTCATCCGAACTGTCGTTCGTACATCTACAACTTCGGAAGTATAACACTCTCTAACCAAAAACGGTTGGAAACCAGCTCAGGAATTCATAAAATAATAAATTTTTTGACAAAAACGATGCCCCGGGTGAGGATCGAACTCACGACCTTAAGATTATGAGACTTACGCGCTGCCTACTGCGCTACCGAGGCGCTGAAAATATTTGTGCAATTACAGATAGATAAGATACGTAAGTAATAGCCCCTAAAACAAATGTAAAAAAAACGTGTTTTTATTATATACTTATCTACCATAATCATACCTATAAACGATCATTCCACAGCCGTTGTTATTTAATGGGATTCGCGACTAGTCACAATGCTTCAAATTGTTGTAATAAATAGTACCTAACCTATCTACACGTTTATCTGGTGTTTGAGTGAAATCCACCACTCAGTTACTGAAATAATCCCTATAACAATAACATGGCCTTGATAATTTCTTTTCTATCTCAATTTTGTCCAGCCATAAATTTATAGAATTTTTTTCAAAATTAATCATATGGCACTTCAAGCACATTTAAAGTGTTACCTCGAAATGTGAAGGAAATCCCCTGTCACCTTATTGAAATACTTTATTCGAAAGTTGATAAATTGTTGGCTTTGGTTGTTGTTTTCCCATTTCATTAAACAAGAAAAAGGCATTAAAACGTATTATTATACGAAGTACCGTACAGATTGCGTCTTATTACAGTTTAATCAGATTTTATTCTTTTTTTAAGTAAAAAGCTAAAAAGTAGAACTTTGGTGGTTTGCACAGTATTTTTTATTTACTTGACTTCTCTCAATTTGCTTGTTCTCTGCTCTGCGTCTCCTCATCTAATGTCCTGTCGTTCCGTGTCATAATCCGGATTTTGAGGTTAACAAGTCCTTTTTGTTATTTTTTTTATATACGTCCTCCAATCTCCACTGTCACCAGCTCTTTAAACTATCGCATTTTCTAAAAAATTACCTTTTTTTCTGTCCAAATACGCCATGGCAAGCAGCCTGGATCCCTTAGGAGCCCTAAGTACCACAACTGAAGACGATGAACTTACTTTGCCCAGAGCAAGCATCAATAAAATGATCAAAGAATTAGTACCATCTGTTCGAATTGCTAATGAAGCTAGGGAATTAGTTCTGAATTGCTGTACGGAGTTCATACACCTACTCAGCTCAGAGGCAAATGAAATATGCAATCAGCTGCATAAAAAGACCATCAATGCAGAGCATGTTGTGATGGGTAAGTCTTTGATCTAAATAAAGTATTTAAAGACTAGTGAATTCAGAACAAGACTCTCGCTTCCTCTAAGGGAGTGTGCCACTGTATACAGTAAGGGCTTGTAGTACAATTCTGGGTTTTAGCATATGTTCAAACATCTCCAACAGGCAAGAGATATAATTGTGGGCTATATTGTCTAGAGAGAACATAAATTTGCTAATTTTGAACCATTCTAGAATTACCAATAGCCAATTGCTATTGAAAATAAACTTCTCTGATAGTTCCTTACAGAACCTGAATAAGGCTAATATGATAATTTGGACTTCCACATAAAGGGTGTGATCCATCATTAATTTCTGGGTGATGCAGTCAGAAACAGTCCACTATCCACATTTTACAGTACTGCGATTTCATGGGGGGTAATATAATATCTAGTATGCTGGAACAATAGATATAAGATTGGCAGAACCCAGGGTGATTTTGACATTTGTGAAAAAGTTTGGTGGTGCCTATGCATTGCTGACTATTAACAAATTTGAATAAATTAGGAGCTAAGCCTATATGTTTACATTGTATTGTTTTGCTCCAAAATTGTGTAGTTTTAGTTCACTTTTGGCTATTTTAAATACCATTGCCCACCAAAGTGACAAACCAATACATTGACATACACCTGTGATGTGATCAGTTATTGTCAATAAAGGGATAAATTAAATAAGGCAAAGAAACAAAAATAAATATTTGTTAATGGCACAATAAATGAACAATTGTGCTTAAGTCGTGATTTTGAAAGGTTGAGAATATGAAAAATTCTCCCTATCAAGCAGTGGCAATAGCTGAATACCTTATATTGTAAATAGTGGGATACCTTGCAAGAATTCTTTGTGGTTTTTCTAAATAGTTCACGTGAATATGAAAATTTTTGTTATTATGTCATTGTTACTGTATTTAGATTGGAACTGAATGCTTAATGAAACAAGATATAACATGAGACGAATCAAAATTACCTCACAACTGTCCAGCTAAAGGCCCAGTGTTGAGCTACATACCCTTTTGGAATGCTGATGACTATAATAAATAACATTTATCGATAAATGATTCTTATGCAGTTTAAATTGCTTTTTGCGATCTACAGAAACCTCCACCATTTTCAGCAACTGTCTGGAACACCAGGATTATATGGAACCCATGCACTTGTGTATTGCAACGAAAACACCGTTTTTACTGTCCAAAGTCTAACTCACTACTTTCACACTAATTTTTTACACTTGTACGAATTTATGAGAATTTATAACTAGATTGTTATTCCATCTTAATTCCTCGTTCGCTGTCCACTGGCTCGACTGTGAGTGGTCAGATATTTATTTCCCTATCGACGAGTTGAGAAACATTCCAGCGTTTTGGGGGCTTTCATGGAAGTAACCTAGATGGCAGCATGCGCCTCCAGACGGGTCTTGTCTATTCTTGAATCTCAGCTTAACCTCTTTTAGATATTGCCGCAAGCGCTCACGCACGGTCGCTCAACTGGTTGCCTAAGCTTCGGTTCCGCAAGGTGACTCCTCGCCGCTCAAGGTCGCAGCTATTCGAGGGTGTTACAATATAGAAAACTACGAATTCAATGAGAAACGTCAACAACTGGTAGTTTTTGCTTGATAGACTTGTAGTATGACCCTGCATCCTGACTTATGAGTACATAATTTTGGCGATACACAAATCATATACTTGTTCCTCTTACCTAGTCCGAATTCTTTGCTGACTTTTGAAATCAGATTTCCGCTTAGCTCTTTCACCAGCAGTTCAATTTGATATTTTAATGTATATTAGATCCTAGCTTAATTAATCAATAATTCTTCTTTTGCAGCTCTGAATAGACTAGGCTTTGTAGACTACACAGCAGAAGCGGAAGCGGTTCTGAAAGACTGCAAAGCTGTAGCGGCAAAACGACGCAGACAGAGCACAAGATTAGAGAATTTGGGCATCCCAGAGGAAGAGCTACTGAGGCAACAGCAGGAACTATTTGCTAAGGCTAGACAGGAGCAGGCGATAGTAGACCAACAGCAATGGCACGAGTTGCAGGCCGCAGCACAGAAGGCGCACATGGAATCTTTACCGGCGACTGATGAGGATGATGATTACTCTTAAGGTAATAGAGTTTTTAGGGCTCTTGTTTTGCAGCTTCGTTATGATCTGCGATTTTGCGCAGTAGCGAGAGGATCCTCCATTATCTGTTATCGAAATAAGAAACTTTGCTTAGTTACAGAGAATAGGTGAGGGCTTATTTGATAAGGTTATATTTTCCTCATTAAGCCCTGTTGCCAGAATTTGTAAAGCTGGATTATGTTAATTATAATAATTTCATGTTAAACAAACATATTGGCTAAAATATTAGGGATATTATACAGATAAAAATGATTGCAAAACATTAAATTGTCCTGATTTATGTTATACAGGGTGTCCCAGAAGTCGACGTCAAGCCGAAACCGGGTGATAGGCAAAGTCATAACAGCTATCAGAAAAATATTTAAAAAAAATTTATGTATGTGTTTTGAAAATTATAGGTCTTTGAAAAAGATATAGAAATTTCCCACCCTACGGCAGTCTGTCAACTCCTGTTACTACAAATATTAACTTTTTGGATTTTATTTTTACAATGTAATGATGAATAATGCATCTTCAAACTGGTGTCTCAACCTTACTGCCAACTTTTCTCGTTCAGGAAAAATTGCCACTTATTTCCCAACCAAGTATTCCAAAGTAAAACTTTGCTCAACTTTAACTGGCTGTACTGCAAAAAAATGTACTACGAGAGTTTGGCAAGTAACCTTAAAAGTTGGCGCATTTAATAAGGATTCCAAAATGGTATAACACTTAGAAGATTACTCGTTAACTTATGCACAATTTTTATTTGAAGAAAAACTGATGAAAATTTTTCAAAATTTCCTAATTAAACAGCGATTATGAAAACGCACAAGGACCCTTAAGGATAACTGTTTGCACAAGAGTGGGCATCAAAATGCTGCTGATGATGATTTACCTTTACAGCAAATGCTCAAACTGTTTTCCTTCAGCCGCAATACACGCTCGACGTCTTCTTAAAAGAGATCGGGTTATTAAACGAGCGAATCCATGGTTATTAACAAACTCAGCTGCTTCCAATAGTCTTTGCCGTAGCTCAGCTACATTTTGAATCGGCTTGAAATACACTTTTTCTTTTACAGTTCCCCAGTAAAAAAATCTAAAGGATTCATATCAGGTGATCGGGCTGGCCACGGTATTGTACCAGACCGCCTTGTCCATCTGCCTGGAAAGTTTTGATTTTTGTCGCACAATGTTAGAAAGACACAGGGAAGATCCACGGTTCTTTGAAAAAATTTTATGGTCAGATGAGACCACATTTAAGAAAGATGGGTACATGAACCTGCATAACTTACACGAGTGGCACGTAGCAAACCCACATTTGATGAGAGAAGATAAATCTCAATATCGCTTCAAGATAAACCATTGGACAGGAATTTTAAATGGTAAAATAATCGGTCCGTTTGAGTTCCCAGAGACTTTGACTGCTGAGGTTTATTTAGGTTTTTTGCAAAATCATTTAGAAAATTTATTGGAGGACGTGCCACTGAGTATTTACAGGGACATGTGGTTTCAGCATGATGGCTGCCCAGCGCACTATGCACTCTCAGTGAGAGAGTATCTCGATCAAAACTTTCCTGGCAGATGGATAGGGCGGTCTGGTACAATACCGTGGCCAGCCCGGTCACCAGATTTGAATCCGTTAGATTTTTTTTACTGGGGAACTGTAAAAGAAAAAGTGTATTTCAAGCCGATTCAAAATGTAGCTGAGCTACGGCAAAGACTATTGGAAGCAGCTGAGTTTGTTAATAACCGTGGATTCGCTCGTTTAATAACCCGATCTTGTTTAAGAAGATGTCGAGCGTGTATTGCGGCTGAAGGAAAACAGTTTGAGCATTTGCTGTAAAGGTAAATAATCATCAGCAGCATTTTGACGCCCACTGTTGTGCAAACAGTTATCCTTAAGGGTCCTTGGGCGTTTTCATAATCGCTGTTTAATTAGGAAATTTTGAAAAATTTTCATCAGTTTTTCTTCAAATAAAAATTGTGCATAAGTTAACGAGCAATCTTCTAAGTGTTATACCATTTTGGAATCCTTATTAAATGCGCCAACTTTTAAGGTTACTTGCCAAACTCTCGTAGTACATTTTTTTCCAGTACAGCCAGTTAAAGTTGAGCAAAGTTTTACTTTGGAATACTTGGTTGGGAAATAAGTGGCAATTTTTCCTGAACGAGAAAAGTTGGCAGTAAGGTTGAGACACCAGTTTGAAGATGCATTAATCATCATTACATCGTAAAAATAAAATCCAAAAAAAGTTAATATTTGTAGTAACAGGAGTTGACAGACTGCCGTAGGGTGTGAAATTTCTATATTTTTTTCAAAGACCTATAATTTTCAAAACACATACATAAAATTTTTTTAAATATTTTTCTGATAGCTGTTATGACTTTGCCTATCACGCGGTTTCGGCTTGACGTCGACTTCTGGGACACCCTGTATACATATGCAATGTGCAACATAGACTTTTATTGTAGTTTTGCCGATTATGCCCATCTGTTGTTCTGCGATTCTAAACCTATTCATTTCTGCTCCGGTATTGAACACAACTATTACCGAAACATCTGTGAAAAATTTTTGAAAAGATTCTCTAATTTTGGGATTGGCCTCACGTCAACATATACTGTCACATTGCTAAGGGTCACTTAAGTGGTCATAAGAATTATTCATTTACAGAATAAAAATCTATAAAGGCGACAAAACCTTCAAATTGAGGTCTTCGTACATTTGTATAGCATAGCAAGATAGTTTCTAATGCAAATTACGGCGAGACGTTAATTTTCAGAAAATGGTAAAATTATCCCAGAAGCTAACATTTGAACCTCTAAATCCTAATAAGCGAGTAAACTAGACCGATTGAACTGGAACACGTTAATCTGTTACAAAATACCATACTAGGTATTTAACTGCTACTATATGAATCCCCGATTTTTTCAGTTTTTGGCTGCCATTGCATGGACGACAGTGGACAACAACGTTTTCACGCAGTTATAGAATATTGACATAAAACAGACAGAACTTGTAATTCTAATCTAATTTTTCAGTTTTTCTAAATGTGAACTGAAGACGTTTATAATTACCTCCAATTTAGCAAGTAAGTGACTATTATATTATCGTATTTACCAAATAATTTATTGTAATTTTTCAATAAACAATTAATTATATTTTCATTTACGCATCAGTATTTATTTCTCACCTGTACAATTTTTTTCCATCAAATATTTTTTCATTGATTAACAATTTTCAAGTTACAAACAACAATTAATTCTGACATATTTATAATATGCGGGTTTTGCTATTTATACACGTATACTACTTTAATCTCCCCAACCGAATATTTCAAAAACTGTGCATTCCAGAAAAAGAAGTTTCAAACAAAAGTTGGCAAAATGACTTTTGACCTTTAATGTCACTTCAAGGTGAATTGAATATTTTCAAATAGAACCCCCCTTTTTCACATCGAAATTGAAAAGAAGAGCAAATGTTACGTTCGAAGATCACCTTGACCTTCAGAGCATTTCACGGTCAAATCAAGGCATTGAAAATAATGTGCTCTAGCAAAAATGTTCGAAAGCTTTGTGGGGATCACCCAAAGTTGACTTTGACCATGACCTTCAAGGTCAAGTTCAAATTTACAAAGGAAAGCTCTCATTTTTATAATGGAAAAGCATGATATTTCACGTCCGACTATGACCTTGAACTGAAAGTCAAGGTTGTGTCAACCTTAAATGTTATTTGAGGTCAAGGTCACATTTGAAAGGAAATTTTACGTACTTTTTCTATTTCCGGTACAAAAATGAGACGTTCCTTTGGAAATTGCTTCCTGGTCAAGGTCATTGTAAAGGTCACATTTAGGTGATCCGCACAACTGTCTGTCGAACATTTTCGCTAGAGCAAATTGTTTTTGATGTCTTGTTTTGACCTTGAAGGTAATTCATCATTGTCAAGATGATGTTTGGACGTAAAATTTGATCATCTGTTCGATTCCAATGTGAAAAAGGGAGGTTCTATTTGAAAATAGTCTTTTGACCTTGAAAGGACCTTAAAGGTTATGGTCAAGGTAACATTTTGGTGATCCCGCAAACCTCACAACTGTGCTGTCGAACATTTTCGCTAGAGCAAATTGTTTTTATCTTGTATTGACCTTGAAGGTCCGGATCATTGCCCAGATGATGCTTGGACGTAAAATTTGGTCCTCTTTTCAATTCAGATGTGAAAAAGGGAGGTTTTATTTGAAAATAGTCTTTTGACCTCGAAATGATCTAAAGATTATAGTCAAGGTCATCGTTAAGGTCAGCCTCATTTTCCCCCAGAAACCCTACAAATTTTTTCTAGTAGGTGCAGTTTTCGGAATATTCAGGTGGGGAGATTAAAATGGGACACCACGTATATATTAGCAATACTTAATTAAATCCAACTAAACAAACATTGCGAACAAAACATTAAATTTTCAGTCATCAATTAGTATGGTTTCTGACTTCACGGTAACAAACTCCACTTCATCATTTTTCTCGTCAGTTTTTCCATTTAATTCCCCCTCTTTCTTTTTTTTGATTTCTTGGATTTCTTGCTGCAAACCCTCATACATTTTCTTAAGTTCCTCATTCTCGAAGATTAGTTTTTCATTTGTAGCCTGCTCGTTTTTAATCGTTTCACACAGTTTAGTTAACAGATCATTTTTCTCTTCTATCTGAGTGTGGTAGTGCTGTTCGCTCAGCTTCCACTAAAATAGTGCAAATCAAAAGATGACCAGCAAGAAAGATTTCAAGAAGAGTAACAGTAGCAGTGGTTTTGCAACGAATATCAAATACCTGGTGACATATGCTCAAATCTATGCATAATTCCTCACCTTTTTGAAAATCATTGTTGTCAAGGAATCCAAATCAGTTGCGTCGACTTCTTGTGAAAGACTTTCCTCCAATATGCGTAATTTTCCTATAAATATAATTGTAGGATAATAAAATTACTAACAAGTTTAGTAATCCACAACTTGAGCGCCGGCCGGATTCGAACTCGCATTCCGTTAGGAGCGACTGTTAAATACAAATACATTCCCACCCACGCCACTGTTCCTTTGTTCTTTCAAGCTGCTTGATGCCTCATCTAGCGGCGTTCAAGTGAAACAAAACGGATTGGCAACGTATATCTAATCGCTTTCTTGATAACACCACGCCGTCTCGTTGGTTCACAGCACGACACTACAGTGCCAGTAAAAACATTCCTGTGGCTCCTCAGCCTCCTTAATCGCTTGACTTGAGTCCTCGTGACTTTTTTATCTTCCCAGTTGAAGGCCATGAGAAGAACCGTCTCCAGCGCTATGTGGCTCCGGAAGGAAGTTATTTTGAGGGTGACCATTTAAATTGGTAATTATACTCGCATTTTAATAGGAATATAAAAAACAGTCTTACCACTTAATTTATGTATGTTTGGTAAGCTTCAACTCGCATCTTCTCTATTCCGAGGAGGCGAAATTACCAAACATGTCTGATACTTGTCCAACATAAACATTCAATTATGTTATTTCGATTGAAAAAACTTTGAAATTACCATTAATCTTGACGTAAAGATCTTGATATTGATCTCTTTCTTGCGCGAGTTTTTCAATCTTCCGTGAGAGTTGCTGCATTCTGACCATTGCATCTACTGCCAGATCCGGTTGTTTTGCTAGTTCGGCAACCATAGCTTGGTCAGACTTAAGTTTAATAAGCCCCCTTGAAATGAAAATTAATTGTCAATCCCTCTCAAAACACACTGCGAGCACTGGAATCAAACTGGGCAAAAATCAAAGGTAGGTGATCAAGGTCAACAGACATGTGTGACAAATGACACCTGTTTGGTAGCCTTAAAGTGTCTTAAAAAGTACCTATCGCTTAGGCAAGGAACGTAGAGGTATTTGGGATTTCAATGATCATCTTAAGTAAACAATGTAAAATATCATCTGTTATTTGTAACAGATGTATAATGAAAATAGTATAACCATTAAGATCTAGGCACAATATGCGTACAAAATTAACAAAATGTATATTCCTTTCTGGCGTGCTCAATTACCGACATTCAGTACGAATATTAACAAATCTGTGTAACTGGTAGAACCATATACGAATACTCATTGTATTGCTAAATACACATAACATATTTTTACGAATACTTCATTGCAATAAAAAATTTGAACACTGAAAGCATTCTCTGGTTGCAAGACCTATGGAACTGAAGACGTTATTTTTAATAAAGAACTATGGAATTTGTTTAGCTAATGTTAATTATATCACGCTTAGACCCGGTTTTCATTCACTGGTCAACTTTCAAGCTTGCTAACTATAACTTTTACGTTAACTCTAGTTAACTAAAACGTTACCGTTGATTCGGCAACGCTGCCTCTACGTCCGAAGTATCGTGTTTTGTGACGCTCGATGTTTGTGTGTCGTGTCATCCGCGAGAAGACATGTCACTTTGAAGCAAAAAAGTTGACTGACGTTTTAGGAACAAACTTGACATTGAAAAACACATTTTAAGAGTTTATTTCTGGTTGGATGTAAAATCGCAGCTAACCTGCAAAAGCCGGGCGTTAAAGTATCATTTTTATAGTTCAAATTTCAACCCCCTGGCCACAAAGTTTGCCCTGGTACCTACAAAAGTTGTCAAAACCAATATATATGAATTTTGTATCACATATCATAAAAAAACATTTTCTTAGTTGACCTTGAAAACCCAATTACCGTATAGTTAGATACCCCTGTACCATGGAAGGTTGATCAATATTGCGTGCAACAAACATCTTTGACATGCGTATGTTTAAGTAATCTTACTCGTTAATATCTTCAATCTGTCGACGAAGTTCACTGTCTCTCTTCATTATTTCATTCTGATAAGTGCAGCTGTGCTTGAACTTATTTTCAAGCATGTCCAATTTCTTAGACAGGTCATTTCGCTCGAACTCTGACTTTTCGAGTTTTTCTTTCAAAGTCGTTATATCCAACAACTGTAAAATTTTAAAGGGATAAAATAGATTCAACGGGACGAGCTGTGGTTTTTGAAAAGCTCCACACTCCCCTGATTTATTTAAAATTACTAAGACACTCTGAAAGGAAGAGTCATTGTGCTTTATTTTTCAACTGCTCCTTTCCCTCTGGACTAATTTTTAAATAAAAGCTACTATTTTCTCCCTTGATCCAGTAGCCGCTAGTATTCTATTTTAAAACTTTAAATTTCCAAAAATTATTGAAAAAGCATTTTGAATAGGTTGTACTAACCGCAGTCTTAGACTGCATTTGCAACTTCACCAAAGTGTCCCTCTTCTCAAACAGCTCCTCTTCTACATTTGGTGATTTTTGTTTCAGCATATCCAAATTCATTTGAATTTCTTTGCATGTTTTATTAGATTCGTCTAGTTGTTTTCTCAATTCGCTGTTATTGCATAGCAGTTGCTTGTTATCTTCTTCCAGACTCCTCACCTCTTCCTGCAAAATGTTTATGTTTTTCGCAAAGTCAAATGTTTGGGTCACACCCCAGCCCGAGTGCTGTTGAGTTACTTTGAATGTGTCTCTATTACCCAAAATAGATAAATATCTTAAAGACGTTTCAAAAACGTCGTAAGGACGTCTTGGGGCTGATAAGACGTAAAGACGACATGTAGTAGGAAACCTGCGCGTCTTAAAGACGTCTTCATACTACTTTAGAAAGGTCCATAGCATGGCATTAAAAAGACATAGTAGAAAACAGACGGGTTATTAAAAAGCATATTTATAGAAAATGATGTTAATTGAACTGTCAAACTGTTTGTGTGTGGCTCCGTAGCTCGCTTTAGGCGTGTGACATAACCTCAAAATAGAGCGCTGACACGGAGAAGTAGAAAACTATGACAATCAAGGAGGCCATAAAGGCGCCCTGCAATTGTAGGGACGACTGACGATACGGGCCTAAATTACCAATCACCCCACAACAAACCAAATCTGGTCTGCAGACGTCTCTCTGCCACATCGTGAGGGTTTTCCACAGTCCAATGATGACTCGATGACTGTTATTAAAAACTCCACAATTCGTAAACCTTCTCTCATTGGACCACAAGACATGATTTACAGAATCATTAGACTTCCTAGTATACCACTCACACAAGCGCATTCGCCTCGGAAAATCAGTTTCCTTAAGTTTTTTAAGCTGTTACGTCATATTCAGTAAATTTGAATGCCAACCTTAATGCAAAATAGATACTAAATTGATTCCTATAGTTTGAATTTCCCGGGTCATTTATGTTGGTAACAGTTTTCTGTGTTGTGACATTGTCGCAAAGCTATGTCAGGTAATAACGCCGACGGCTGTTGTTTATTTGTGTTATTTCCTAGGATCTAGTAGTTTTAAGTAATGTGGCAACCATGTGCCTCACTGTCAATATTTGACGTTGTGACGTAACTGCTTTGATTCAGTGAATATACTGTATTTACAAAAAGTCTGTATTTTATCAAATTTATCAAAAAGATTCGATAGTCATAAATATTAGTGGTCAAACTAGATTCGCTCAGGAAGGGGTCATGACTCCACCCCCCGGATCCGCGCGAAGAAGGTTTCCCGTAATTACTAAACTGTGCTCGAAATCGTATAGAATCCGTCTGAATCTCAAAATTTACCCATTTATCCAGGATACACACAATATATTTTCTTACCCTTTTGATATAAAGTTCTGTTATAAACTCTCTCAAGTTTTTCTCAATTTCTATATCGTCATTTTGAGAATCTCCGTCTTTAAGTTTGAGCCTTAGCTCTTCCATTGCAGTTACCATATCTTGTTTGTTTTGCATATTCTGAAAACATAATTGAGTGTACTTATATTGTGGCATTTTATTTTTTGTATGCAAATAAACTTTACTAAATAAAAGAGCTGTTAGCAAGAACAAAACGAATCTGTTACGTTCAAAAAACCAAAACAAAATACTGACTACCTGACGTTGACGGATTCGTCAGAATTATGTTTCCTGTGCCCATATGGGAAATTTTGAGGTATTTACTAGATAATCACCTGTCATTCTACCGTAATGGATACTCAGTATACATATACGAGTACAAGGCGAGAATTGAAATCGGCATCTAAAACCTGTTTCTTTAATGTTTTATTCGAACATCAGAGACATCCGTTCTGTCCTTATGTATTTATTTTATGGATTTATCTTTTTCAACGATGATTCACTCTTCTATACATATTATACATTATTTTGAATCCACTTACCTTTATCACTTAACAAATTACGAAGATATTACACTAACTGACGGATTACAATATGTATTTCTAAACGTATCTTTTAAACTGCTAGCCAAACACAAAATTTATTCTATTACGCTTATATTGGAACTGCAATATCAGAGAATTTACTAACGCAAACTTTAACTGAGGAATCGTAAGTAAAACTATAGAAACGGAATGAAATAACCCATCATTCAAACAATTGAATAACTTCAGACGTCAAAACTAGCCACCTAGGATTGCACCATCGCTTAGTGATATAGTACGGTAATTTTAGATTTTATTTGCAGATAAATCCGCTCCATTACCTAAACTGTATCCATCGAAGAAACAAAGTAAAATCAAACATATACACCCGTATTGCACGTGATCAAGAACTTAACCGTAGGAGACGCTACAGGGCAGTATCAAGCTATTGTGACTGATCTATCAAAAAATGTCGTACAAGATATGTGTTGCTGTAAATTCTATCAAAAGCATAGTAAATTATTAGGAATATATCACGCCTTTCTAATCATATTTCGACATTAGGAATCAGTGCAAAAAATTCTGTATTCACCATTTCAGCAAAATGTTACTAAAACGCACACGAAAAAAACTTGTGGACCATCTCAATTGAAATTGTTCATATTTTATTATTAACTTACATATATACCCAATAATATTTACAAATCAACCTTCTATTCACAATGCAGAGCAAATTTTTTTGAGCAAATAGAAACTACAGACGTAGTAGTAGTAGTACAAAAGTTTATTACAGACTCCATAAAGTTTGTTAGTTTGATTGCTATTAAAATTTACATGAGAAATAGGAAGAAGGTCAAAATGGCACTATTATGCTTTGGAACTCCTAAATTAACCCTAGTTTTGTGTAATTATAAATTTGGAATTTCCACATTAATAACTAGAAACTTACACTTTGATTGCAGTCTATAATGAACTTACCTGTCTTGCCAAAAAGCCCGTTAAACTGCCAGTCTTAATGGTATCAATCGATTTATATGCTGTATTCCGAGGAGCTTGAATCATCAGAATTGTTGATGTCAATTATAAGGGGTTCAACTTGGGTGTCAATGATATTGTCCATATCCCACATTTTGGTTTCAACCTTCTCTTGGACATGGTCAATACATGTTCTCCATTTTGCTGGCGTAATTCTATCGACAGCAACATCAAACAGTTTTTTAAGGTCAGAAAACTTAAAAGTGCTGTTATTTGACGCCACGTATTGCCTGATGTCGGCCCAAATCAACTCGATAGGATTCAGTTCGCAGTGATAGGGAGGCAGCCTGAGAATCGTTTTATTTTGGTTTTTGGCCATTTCGTCAACAATTTTTAAATCATATTTATACTTATGTCGCTTGACTATATTTATCAGCTCAGCTTTGACCATTGTTTGGTCGAAGTCGATCTTCTTTGAAACAAGCCACTGTTGAATGTCTGCCTTTTTGGTGGCCATTGTTGGAATTTTTTCCAATTTTCTGGAGTGGTACGGGGCATTATCCATCACAATAATTGCGTTATCATCAAGTGTCGGCAAAATTTTTTTGAACCAATTTTCAAATGAGTTACCATCCATTTCTTCGTGATAGTCTCCAGTTTTTTTGGATTCAAATGCCCACAATGCTTCAGGAACAAATCCATCTACGCTACCTATGTGGCAAATGATCAGGCGTTTTCCCTTGCCTGAAAGTAATTAGTTATTTTACTTCTCAGCGAGCGCACTAAATGACGAAATTAAGCAACTTACTCTTTTTAGGTTAGTGTAGGATAGGGTCTTAGATTAGTTTTTGGGTGAAGGAAATACTCAGAAACTTGGATGAGATAGCAAAACTGAGTTCGGAGCTTCCAAATCATTGATTCGATCAGAAAATGACTTATCTGCATCCAAAAAAGTTCATATACTTCGAAACTTACCTGCAGGATTTTTCAATCCCGTCGAAAGGCCATCTAAAAAAGCCTACCTTGAGGACCTCACAGATCTGTCTACCCAAACCTTTCCCTGCGTATGCCCCGCGTTCACCCATGTTTCGTCTAAATAATAAATTTTTCTTCCTTCAGCGCGGAATTGCCTAATTTTTCGAAGGTATTCTCTCCTCCAGATAACAATTTCCTCCTTTTCTATCAATAAACTATTCCTTCCTCTTTTCAAAAATCGAAAGTCTAGTTCTTTCAACAGCTTATGGAACGTAGATCTTTTAAAATTTGGCAGGTCCTCATCATCATTCACTTGCTTCAATATTTTATCTATTGTAGGTATTTCATTCCTGAAGAAAAAGTGATGTACTTTTCTTCTAATGGCACTTTTGTCAAAGTCATCTATTTTTTCGATGATTTTTTTTCTCGCTGGATATGTTTTTGGCTCAGATAGTGAGTGATTTTGTCTATATTCCTTCAAGATTTTGTAAACACTTGATCGACCTACTCCAGAAATTTCAGCAACCTTACATACGATATTTTCTATAGCCAATCCACTATTCTCTTGCATCTGGTTCTTGTAGATATTTAGAATAATTTGTTTTTCACCTGCGCTAAGATGAAGCTTTTTAGCCCTTTTTCTGGGTGACGTTAAGCTGATTTCAACCACTTCATCAGCTGTATCTGTGTCAGACATTTTAGACTAAAAATGAAGTCAAGACGTGCATAAAACGTTCGCGCTCATAAACGGGTATCCGTAACTGATTACAATCCTGTGCGTGGTGACGAACCATCAACGTGACGCTGAGAGTTCCCTCTACTATGCAGCAATGATCATATTTTATTGGAAAAATTGTCAGAAATCGCCGAATGTTGAACAGAAACATTACAAGAAGTCTAACCTTGAAATGTGAGGCTACAAATCGATATTCTTATAGGGGGAATGGTAGGGAGCTGTTATGGTTCCTATAAACCTTGGTGAAAGTTGGAAACGGTAATATCATATATGGCATGTATGCCATTCGGTTGAAGGTGTGTGCACGGAAAATAGATTGCGGATAGGATTTTAATAGATAAATCTGCACAAAAAAACACAAAAGGAGATTTTTGTATTTCCCTGAAGAATATCTCAAGGTTATTTCAGATGTACTCATCGAAACTTTATGGAAGGATTATCGAAACCTTATTTTCAATTGCGATAGGGCCTCATACCTCGACATCGCATTAATGTGAAAAATAAGACAATAGAAAAAAGTTCCCTCACTGATGCTATCTCTTAGGAAAAATTTAACTATAAAGATTGCACAAAAATTTTCTTCACCTTTTTGAGCTTGTTTTCGCATCTCCGTATATGCCGTTCATAATTTGCTGCAGATCAAATTGGAATATACCTTTGTGATGCCATTTATTGTTATATAATGTCCTTTACAACAGTTATTGCACGTATTGCACCAACAGATTGATTTGTGATCCATCCGAATGTGATCAACCACTCTGGCGAAAACTCGCCGAGCGTGGCAACCGTGCGACTTTGTCTGGAGGCTCGTCGCTACAAGCCAATCAGGAAGAGGCCGACAGAGCGCCATGGCTACCGATCACGCGTTGATCACGAATCAACCACTGTTTACGATTACTTTGTAGCTTCGTTAGATACACTTTTAAGTTGACATTTTCGAGCGTATCATTAAACATACGTGTTTGTCTCAATTGGAAATTATCAAGAAGCAAAGTACTTAAACTTTTATGATATGGTCCAAGGCATCAAGAATTGTCAACAGTCCTTCAAATTTCCGAATGGTAATCAACACGAATTATTAAACATGTTATTGGTTTGAAAAATTGCAAATGTTTAATCTTTTTTAAGAATCGGGCCTCACTGCTGAAATTACAGAAATTATTCGGTGAACCTGATTTTTCAAACAACCCAGTTTAACGATTTTCTGATGAGATCAACTTCTTTCACTATTAAATAGATTTGTTTTTCTCGGTCTCCCGGACTACGGTGTGTTGATGCGTAGAAAAAGCGTTATGAGAGGTGTTTAGAAATTATTAAACTCTTAACCTAATGATTTGATTTTAGATTTTTTGAGGTATCTGCTCCATGATAATTTGCAGAGTTGAAGCAATATTATCAGAACTTTTTAAGCATCGAAATATTATGACAGGCTGTGATAAAATTGGGCTGCTAACTTATTTATTTCATACAAAAGGTATATCGTTCATACTGTTGGTGATTCCTAAGATTATGTACAAATATTCCTCCAAATATTGAGCTAATTCACATAATACTTTTACACATCAAAAAGGCGCTTCTTGACACGTCTCACATATGCACCACTTTTTATAATTTATCACAGCCAGTAAGTCATATTTTCCTTCTGTTGTATGCCTCTCTTATCATAAGTTCGTAAAACAGCTGCTATCCTGGGCTTACTCTTCTCTTCTTGTTTCCTTTGTTTTCTCCTTCTATAGCTCTGCATACTCAGTCTTCTCCAAATCTGATTTCCATTTTCGTCTTTCACTTCACTAGCGTTTTCGGTGTGCACGTGTACCTCAGCACACTTATTTTTGTTAGTTTTCGTGGAAAGGCAACTTGGTTTGACATTGCCATTATTCTCTATTAAGTTGTCGTTATCCGAAGGTCGTTTTTTGAACATCGATCTGACGTTCATGGAGAATCTTAACGAGCGAGCTTTGCCATAGTTGTACAGATCGTACTGGCACCTAAACCACTGCTCCATACTTGAAACTGTTGACTATATTTTTATCGGTAACTACGAGAATGTTATGAATAGTGTTTTGAATTGGCACATTACTCTATATGTGGGTCGTTTACAGATAATTCGATTACTTCGGTTTAGTTCTAGCGTAATGTCCGCTTGAAAGGTTTCTGCCCTCGTAGGGTACCTACAGTGGTGTATCCCTTTGTCTAAATAAAGGAGACTATGCAATCGCAAAATTCGGAACAATGTTGCGATTCCCATTGAAAAGTATATTTTCTGTTTTGCCACACCTATGAGGTCCGTAAATTAGGTGCTGTGGCGAAGCGTCCATGTAACCATTGTTACCATCGGTAACAGTTTAAAATCTTTTCATTTTTGGATACACTTGGTAGTCCGTCGGGGACCGTCGGTACCGGCTCGTGTCTGATCGCGGTCCCCCGAATGCGTGGGGCGCTGCGACTATTATGATCATCTAGAAACGTCGACTGTTTTTTCGGACGGCTTGGATTAGTCATAGCATAAGAAGATTAAAAGTAGGTTGAATAAAATACCTAAAATAAGCAAAAAAATATATTTGTGAGGTTCAAAATAAACTTTTTTTAATAAGATTTGTCACATCTGGTTTTAGTAACAGTCTTGTGGTGAGACTGGGAACGTAGCGATCTGGAAACACTAGAGGCGCGACAGTACAGTACAAGTTTGAACTCGCAAGAGTCACTCGATTGTCCGTAGCAATTTTTTTTAAATCGTAATTATATTTGAATGGAGGAAATGAAAAAAAATCATTCTCATCACTAAATTTACAGTCGTCGTGATTATTTATACTTACTTAAGAGATCAACCTGCACGTATCACACGGCAGGCCTAAAAAGTGGTTCAGAAGTTTTTCTAACTGGGCAGCCGCAAAGGCAAAGCTTAAATACCAAAGTACCGCGACTAAAAGGGATCTTGTTGGTGTATGGTTTCGGTTGATTCATGTCAATAGAACTAGAAATGGAAAATTTTGGAAAAAAGACAACCGAAACATAAAAACAAATTATCATCAACAAAACATATATACTAAGTGACATATAAGTCCGAACACCCAGTTTAAATGGTTTTATTTTAATAAAATTTTGTATAAGTACTTAATGAAGCATAATAAGTAAATGATAAAAATTCCAAAATGATTGCACTGCTTTAAAGCCTTTGACCTTTAATAATGTGTGGATGCACCCTGATGTGCTACGCATTCTCTAACGCGCCTAGGCATGCTTCTGATCAGGTGGTCAATGTCCTCCTGTGGTATCTCACTCCAGGCAACCACCAACTCCTCTCGAAGTGCTTCTAGAGGCTGAGGAGGACGTTGCAAATTGAGCAATCTCCTACCCATCATATCCTACACGTGCTTAATTGGGGATAAGTCGGGAGATCTTGGTGGCCATGGTAACAATGTGACATCATTATGTTGAAAGAAGTCTATTGTGACTCTTGCAACATGTGGTCGGGCATTATCTTGTTGGAAAGTTGGATCTGCCAGGGTGTCAAGATAGGATAAAAGATGGGGTTCTAGAACTTCGTGGATATAACGCTGCGCGTTCATGTTACCTCTGATGAAGATTAAAGGTGACCTGGAACCATAAGCTGTAGCACCCCAAACCATAACTCCAACAGTGTGATGAACATGTCTTTCAACAAAAAACTGTGGATTCCTCCTTTCACCACGTCGCCTTCTAACCCTGGCATGACCATCGTGCATGCCTAAACAAAATCGAGACTCGTCACTAAAGACAATACTGTTCCATTCCTCATCCCAGAGTGACCGTTGTCTGCACCACTCAAGGCGATTACGTCGGTGTTCTCGAGTTAAAGGGAGGGCCCAGTGTGGCCGGTATGAAAACAAGCCAAAACTTCTCATTCGTCGGTAAACACTTCGCATGCCAATAGGTCTTCCGTGTTCTGCAAACCATTCATTTGCAATGGACCTGGTAGTGGAGAAACGGTCCCTTAAGGCCAATAATCTTAGGCGGCGATCTTCACGGTCTGTTGTTCTACAGCGGCGTCCAGTGCCCCTTGCTCTTTGCGTACGGCCTTCTCGAAGCCATGCCTGACAACACCTAACCACAGTGTCTACACTTCTTTGCACTCTAACTGCAATTGCCCGAAAAGAAAATCCAGCTTCCCGAAGTCCCACTATACGGCCCCTATCAAACTCATTAAGTTGACGAAATCGTACAGGTCTCCGTACTCTAGGCATCGTAACCGATCGTAAAGGATGTCAAGAACCAAAATCCGCCAACGTTGATTCTTTACTGCGGCTGAAATATTCATTTTTAGAGCGTTAGTGAATTAAAAAAAAGCAGTATAAAAACCGGAATGTCCAACTGATAAGGCTGAAAATTTTTTCACTTGTTATTTACAGTAAGATAAATACATTCACCAACTTTTATTAAAATAAAACCATTTAAACTGGGTGTTCGGATTTATATGTCACTTAGTATATGTATAGCATGAACGAATAAATAAGTAAGCTACAAAAAGCATAGCCTCAAGCGTGGCATAAAAAAATAAAATAATCACTCAATAGAGGTAACAAGGAGTAAATTAAAAAAAAATAAACTTATTTGCTTTTGTATCATTCTAAATGGCTATTTGAACGTATGATTTTTCTAGGCGTAAATTACTTTTTATATTTCCTGTAGCAACATTTTGGGCCTTAAAAGCAGTGACAACTGGTAAATACATTTTTATTTGATTTTGCAACTATACGTTAATTTTTGATGGTTTGAAATGACGTCTAACACAAACGATGTTGGAGCTAATAGCAATTCCTTAGGAACTGTCACCAACATTTTTATTAGGAGATGGTGAGGAAATGCCACCGATTTCAGTAGATTCAGAAATACTCAGAACACTTGATTATAAATAAGGTACCTGTACCAAATAAGGCCACGTTAACGTTTGGATACCCGTAACTTTATAAATAGTTGAGTCATTAATTTTCAGATAATGATTGTAGAAGGAAGAAGATAAACCAAAATATGTGTGTAAAAATAAAAAAGAATAAAAAAAATATTACCTTGTTTTATAAAGTATCCTCCCGACAAGTATTTCAGTGCGGAGCTGTATTTGATCGTGAGGTCTTGGAGCACCGGCATGCCGTCCATATGTGACGTCTTAAGTCACCTGATTCACGAACCCGTTGTACTACATTAACAAAGGCACGAGGGGTTGGTTGCACTCGATTGGGAAACCGATCCGCATAAACATGTGCCATTTTTTATTTCGTTTGAGCCACGCAACAGACACCACTATTCACTATCGACTGACACTGACTGTATACAACTGAATGAAATAATTGTAAAAACATCGTTCCAAATTCTTTCGCTTTTTTGTTTCCGATGCGATGAACCGATAAGGCGAATTATATCCGTTGTCGCCAAACACGAGCACATAATATTATTATTGAGACAGGGCGGTACTCAAACTTCCAAAGGGCTATAACTTTGTTACTTTAATTTTACCAGAAAAATGGTAAAGGAAAAAAACATTTCTTTTGATCAGATCTACTCACTGTTAAAATAAATGACTCAACTTCGACACGATCATGACATTTTAAAGGTATTGTTATAGATATATATTCAGTGAATAACCTATATCGGATAGCTCCAAGAACTTTTCTTTTCATATAAAAAATGTATATATTTTTAAACACTACCGTTGGCCTTACTAGGAACTCAGGTATCCAAGTAAGGCCATGATCTGGATTTCAACAAAGCCACACTCAAAATATAAAACAAGACTGTTGAATAAACGAAGATATATTTCTAACTAACAAAAATAAATAATTCTTGAGTCCAGATAGATTTCAAGTAAAAAAATCTACTTTTTTTTGACTTCGCATTGATGACAAACAAACGATACCTTATCGCCTCTACACAAGCCTACACATCCCTCAGGGACATATCTTAAGCATAGTACATACAGACGCATCTCACGTATTTCATCCTTATCGCATACGAAACAGTCACAGTTTTCGTCTTTATTCTTCTGGGAACGATTTAACATGGCCTTATTACGCACATCTAACATTAAATATACAATTTACAAAATTGAAAACATTCACAACCTAGCAACAGCAAATAACTACCTGCATCTGCCTTATAGACTTGCCTCTTTGAATTAACAAGAGAGTCCGCAGAAAGAAGCCGACAACATGCAAAAATGGAGAGAAATTTAAAGCAGAAATTTTATAAGGCACGTGTTGAAAACCGACGGTGTCCTACTGCGCCATCTAGCGCCGCTCCACAGCTGCTGAAATTATGGCTATTTGGTACAGGTACCTTATTCGGTTATTCTAATCAACGAACCGCCACTGGTAGAATAAGCAAATAATAATTTCATTAGGTGTAGGTGTGATGAGTGGTCATGAGTTCATGTTCTTCACATCAATTGCATAAGGGTTTAATAATTCCATGATCATCGGTTAAACGGTTTATATAAACGTTTCCTATTAATAGTTTGGGAAGCCACATATCAAAGTGAATTTGCAAAAAAAAACAACTGCATTATTTGTGACGTAAGTGAATCGTCAGCAACTCCATTCCACACTTGATGATGAATGATAAATATAATTCTTTCAGAAAAACTATAAAACTTTGGATAGTCAAATGCCGCTGGAGGGGTCGTAGAGTATACAGGGTGTCCGCAAAGTTGGGGTTTTCCTTTACAGGATAAAGGGCTCTGCAACATCAAAAATATCTGAATACCGTCCTGTAGCCGCGACATCCCCGAGTGGTACTAGGACACTAGGTCAACCCGACGACAGAACTGGGTCGGGGTCAGTGTGTCAGATCAGTATGCAACCTTCAACCGACGGTTACGGTCACGGGTGTAGAGGTAATCGCGTGGACGAGAATCCCTCAACTAGCACTAGAGACGTGGCTAGAGAAGTGCAAGTATCAAAAACTAAAGTGTGGCAAACGCTGCGTGAAGAGGGGCTGTATCCGTTTCACGTCCAACGTGTACAAGCCCTTCAACCTGACGATTTTCCAGCTAGAGCGCGGTTTTGTGAGTGGTTGTTGCATCAACATGACGATAATCCGGACTTTTTGAAGTGCATATTGGTGACAGACGAATCTACGTTCACGCGTAATTGGGTGAATAACTTTCGCAACACTCATGTTTGGTCAGTAGAAAATCCGCACGCTGTCCGTCGGGCACATTTTCAACAAACATTTTCGGTGGAAGTTTGGGCTGGCATGGTCAACGGTATGCTCATTGGACCATTTATTCTCCTAAATCGATTGGACGGGATGCAATACCTAGACTTTTTACGCAACATTTTGCCTTCCTTGTTTGCCTGCGTCTGCTCGGTAGCGCATCAGCTGATTTCATTTTCTGTTGGAGCGGTATGATTTCGGGCAGAGACGTACTTAGCCCTTCTCGTCAACTGGAGAGTGAGTACTTTTTCCTTTATTTTTTTTTTACTTGGTCACCCTCGTTTCACTACACATTACCTTTGTTATTTCAAAGATAGTTGTTTCTGAAAAGGAAAACCCCAACTTTGCGGACACCCTGTATAGATACATTTGTATTTTGTGATTAATTGAGAATACAACATTTAGAAATTAATAAGGGTTAATTATAATTGAAGACCGGCTAAATCTACAATAAACTATAGTTTTAATTTACTTACCAACAATGCTAGAGAGTTTCTAGCATCCTATTTTCAGTATTTCACTTACAGTATAGTGTACGGTATTTGGGATTTCAATGCTCCGCTAAAAAATCCTAAGCAACACAACAAGTTGTGGAAATAAACCAACAAAATAGTGTAAAATATCATGCTTTATTTGTAAGATATATGATGAAATTAAGGACGAAATTTTGTCGTCCGTGCAGCGAAATGCACCCAACATCAATACACCGATAACCACCCGATAACTCTAATTCTAAAACAATTTCAAGATCAGTCTTTACTTGTCATTTTAATACGTATTAATAGTTGATGACAGTATTTCAATAATTGGCTAATATTTCGGAATTTTCCTCTAAACAACTAAAAAAATATAATTTTATAGAATAATATAATAAATAAAAAGAGTACTTCACTTAAATTATCTATATTTAATTCTTCTACTATGTGGACGAACATAATCAGTGATCACAGTATTAAATATCACGTCAAATACCTTTTAAGTAGTTTGGTTCAATAATGTCAGATATGAGTATGAAGTTTTGACTATCTGAAAATATGTTACGTGTCAAAAGGATTAGCGGATATCAGTCACTCTTCTAGTGACTATATTTTGTTCTCATTACGAGTATCTCGTACTTACCATCAAATATAAAGGATAACCGAGTACGCCTAGAGGTAGCGCAGGTAATGTGATGGGGATTTCACACCTAGCGATGATATACTTCACATCCCGAATTAATGCTGGCGGTGCTTCATACCATTTGGCAAAATATACCACTTCTCTTATCGACGATGTCTGAAATAAAGTCATTTAGACCGCTTTCGTAGAGGACATGAGTTTTGCAGTTCTTTTTAATGGGTGATTTTTTTGCTAGTATCTTTTTGGCAAAAGTGTTTTTGACAGATGACGCGTGAATCGTGTCTTGTGTCATTGTCAAACTTGTTCAGTTTGGTCTATAATTTAACCATGAATCGACTGACGAACGAACAACGCTTGCAAATTACTGAATTTTACTATCAAATTTCATGCTCGGTTAAGAGAGTGCATCGAGCACTGCTTCCAATTTATGGGCAATTTGGTCGACCTACTGAGGGAGCTATTGGGAAGCTTGTGACTAAATTTTGAACCCAGTTTACATTATTGGACATTAAACCATGGAATAGCATCTTTTTGAGATATTTATACCGCTAGCTCCGCCTCCACTGAACCAATTTTCAAAAAATATAAAGCTTTTTCATCCTTGGCATACTAGTAGCCTTGTGTGAAAATGAATGTCATCATTCTGCGAACGTAATTTTTTTACAGGCCACTATCTCAATAAATTGTTTTCTGGGAGCTTAAATGATAATTGTCTTATCATACCTCATCAATCATTTTCTGTCCAGCAAAACACACCATGAAGAATCCAACGGCAAAGCCGGCCAAATGCATGAATGCTCTAATAGACCTTTCCTAAAAAAAAAATTATGGTGATATACAAAGAATGTTGATTTTGTGACAACGTATTTAATTTATTAGAATTGGGGCAAAGAGGCTTAGGACAAACCAACACGATAAACGGTATATACTGGGTGCGTCATCTGTTACTTTTGTTTACCTATAAGTTTATGTGTTACCATGTGAGTCTAAAGTTGTGTGTTATGCATAAATGAACTGTCAACGGTATACCATTTATAGTCATGGATTCGTTTACAACACAACAACGCATTTTGGTTATCCAAACTTATTACGAAAACGATCGAAATATAAAAAATACTTTTCGCAAACATCGCACTAGCTTTGGCCGACATGGACGCCCCACAGAACCTGGAATTCGTTAACGCGGCATATTAATGGACTTTTTGTGGCCACAATTGGATCGTATTGGTGCCGACGATCTGTGGTTTCATTAAGACGGAGCAACGGCTCACACATCTCGCCAAACAATCGCCTTATTGCACACGAAATTTCAAGACCGCATAATTTCACGAAATTCAGATGTCAGTTGGCCCCCGAGATCGTGCGATTTAACACCTCTTGACTATTTTCTTTGGAAAAAGTGTATGCGAATGGTCTCCGGACAATGCAAGACCTAAAGCGCAATATTCAGACTGAAATTGCGGCCATAGACCCGATTATTCTGGGAAAAGTCATTGAAAATTTTGATGTTCGGATTTTGGCCTGTAAACGAAGCCGCGGTGGTCACATAACTGATGCTATTTTTCGTACATAAATGGCATAAACCAACCTTCATTCATCAATAAAAAAATTCGATTTCACCTCGCAAAAAGCGTGTTGATTTATCAACTAGAAAAAAAAGTAATAGATGACGCACTCTGTATAATTCAAAAATTACGTTCAAAATTTGGTTTCCAATGCATCCCAAACATATCGCTGACGTCAGAGATATATGTCCCAGTGTACCTTTAGTTAGCTGGCTTATGTGAGCGCCTATCCTGAAAATTGAAAAATTATATACACTTCAGCAATAATTTTCGCAAATAAGCAAATTCTTGAGAATTTTCAAAATTTATCCATGAATAGGGGTGCTATCATCTAATTTACCTCAGCCGGGAAAAAGCTTCAAAAATCCCCGACTTCTTGGGCAATTGATATTATTCCCGGACACTCTTTTTTGTAGTAAAAATAAGACATTGTTGCCATTTTGAATTTTTGAATCGCTGCTAGCGATTTATTCAGCAATGTTTGACGAAATTTACTTAAACTTACAGCATATCAAACGAAATACTCAATAGTAATAAAATTATATACATGTTGACACTTCAGCAATAATTTTCGCAAATAAGCAAATTCTTGAGAATTTTCAAAATGTATCCATGGAAAGCGGTGCCATCATCTAATTTACCTCAGCCGGGAAAAAGCTTCAAAAATCCCCGACTTCTTGGGCAATTGACATTCTTCCCGGACACTCTTTTTTTGTAGTAAAAATAAGACATTGTTGCCATTTTGAATTTTTGAATGGCTGCTAGCGATTTATTCAGCAGTATTTGACAAAAATTTACTTAAACTTACAGCATATCAAACGAAATACTCAATAGTAATAAAATCATATACATGTTCACACTTCAGCAATAATTTTCGCAAATAAGCAAATCCTTGAGAATTTTCAAAATGTATCCATGAATAGAGTCATCTAATTTACCTCAGCCGGGAAGAAGCTTCAAAAATCCCCCACTTCTTGGGCAATTGATATTATTCCCGGACACTCTTTTTTTGTAGTAAAAATAAGACATTGTTGCCATTTTCAATTTTTGAATTGCTGCTAGCGATTTATTCAGCAATGTTTGACAAAATTTACTTAAACTTGTACATCTATCTTTCCGAGTTAATCTCATACCGTATTTTTGGTTAGGCCTGCAATTAAGTGGACTTTTTCTTTCTCGAAAATAAGGCAAGGTCCGAAAAAATGCAAGAGTCAGAAAAGTTGTATGTCTATTTCCTTAATCCAACGAATATAAAAAAAATTGCACAAAAGTCAATGGCGTACATTTTTTTCTCACAAATATTCGTTCAGATCCCGCAACCAAATTCTTCAATCCGAATACCGCCTAAAGATCTTACATGACTAAGCCTGATCGACTGGACAACCTTGCATCTTGTAGACACTACCTTCTCTACTTCTCTTACTCCCCTACAGAGGATCTATAAAAGAATTTATCAATCCGGGCAGTCCTAATAAGGATAATGCGAAGTGTCAAATTAATCATATTGATAACAGAATCCCTTCAATCTGCATTTTTGTTGATTTAAAGAAAGCTTTCGACACAGTTAATCACAAATTATTATTAGAAGCATTGGAGAGAATTGGTTTCAGAGGAAACGCGTACTCACTGATCGAAAGTTATTTGTCAAATCGCCCACAATCTGTGCAGATATCAGGATCATTTAGTAAAGAAATGTATATTAAGTCTGGTGTCCCACAAGGAACTGTCTTAGGTCCGCTGTTATTCAATATATATTTAAATGATATTTTCCAAATTAATTGTGTTGGCAAAATAACTAGTTTTGCAGATGATACTGCAATATTATATGAAGGCACTGACTGGTCTGATCTGAAAAATGTAATTGAAAATGATTTTATCAAAATTATTCGGTGGTTTAACAGTAGAAAATTAAGCATTAACTACTCTAAAACACACTTTTTACCATTTGGAACTTATGCTAGACATCTGCCAAATTACACAAATTTCTCCTTCAATATTAATGATCAAAAAATGCAAATTAATAGAGTGCCCAACATAAAATACCTTGGAGTGGTCTTGGATCCTCACTTACGATGGGACATCCATGTCAATTATATTTTAAAGAAAGTTAGATTTATATCCTACAAAATTAAATACCTTGGGAATATATTGACAGAAAAATATCTTCGAACATTATACCATGCACTGATTGAGCCTCATCTCACATATGGTATATTAGCATGGGGAGCTGCATGTTCCTCACATATCTATAATTTAGATGTTTTTCAAAAAAGTATTCTAAAAATGATATTTAAAAAACCGAAACTTTATCCCACTGAAAAATTATACGCAGATGTTCGAATGTATGATATAAGACAGCTTTATTTCTTACACAGTATCACTCACTACCATAAATTTGTAAACACCGACCAAAAAATTAAACATAATCATTATACCAGGTACAAAATTCGTGGCACAGTAGTTCCTCAACCGCATAAATCTATAATGCAGCGATCATATCTCTATTTAGCGCCTAAATTTTATGAAATTATACCTAAAGACTTAAAAGATTTACGTTTCGGAAATTGTTTCAAAAGAAATTTAAAAAAGTGGCTACATTCTATATCTAGGACTGAAATTCATAAACTCATAAATACGAACATCAACTAAATACATAATCTACTGTAGCTAATTTTTGTCCTTTTTGGCATTTGCATTCTACAGTTTCAACTTAAATTATTGGTCCATGTACAGGCGATGCCTTCTATTGGGCCTGTTTTGATTTTATATTTATTTACTCATATTGTTTGTTATCTTTGTACATTGAGTAAATAAATATTATTATTATTATTATTATTATTATTATTAATCAAACTTCTGGAAATTGGTGAAAACTATGCTCAAATACACAAATATTTAGATCCACTACTATTCGTACTGACCTTAGAATATGATTGTGGTACCTGACGCAGTGATACAACTTAGCCCTTATTTCGTCCTCGCGTTTGGCCTCGAAAGCTTTATGAAACATCCTACCAAACTGCTCCAAATGGGTCAATGTGAGGATAGTGCTATTGTGAGTCATGAACACAGCACAGATTGAAGACCAGAATATGGCCAGAGTGGCGAATACTTGAATGGCGTCGATCATTGCCAGAGCAGCGGTGCTAACTGATTTGATGGGTAACCAGATGGGTCCAAAAGCGCATATCTCGTGAGCGTTGTTACGGACGTTGTATTCCCTGTAAAGGGAACGTTCTAATTTAACGCGAAATTGTACTCTTTTTCACATACGAAGGATGTCTTTCAAGTTTTGCATATAGAAACATAGTAGGCCGCGCGGATAGAACGTCAGTACTGAATCTTAACCTCACTCTTTAGTAAACTTAAATTCTAAGTTTCACAACAATACCCGCAAACGAGTGGGATAAGTGCTTCGAAAATTGGTTCGAGCGGATGAAGATGTGTATTAATCTTCGTGGAGAATACTTCGAAAAACAATAAAGTCATTTAAAACTACCTACCGTGTTGTTTTATTTCCATATGCAAAACTTAAAAGACATCCCTCGTATTAGAAGAACAAGAACAAGTTTTTGTTGAACATTTTCCAAATTATAAAAGTAATAGTGTCAGTCCTGTCATAGATATGAAGAATTATAATTTTAAGAAGGCCAAATGCTAACTCTCCTGAGCTGTATCAAGCGCTTTTCAATGTAGACTGGTCATTTTTAAATCCATTTGATGAGATAAATTCAGCAGTACGAGCATTTTATAGCAATATTTATGAGTTATTTGATACGTGCAAGTATGTATCACTTTTCAAATCGATTACACGAAGGTACCCAGCTTTGTATAACACACACAATATCCAGACCAAAATCGAATATCTTAAAAAAATTAGAAATACAAGTCTCCAAAATTATCGTGAAAAGTTTGTAGAATTGAGATCTGTTATTAAGCAACAGGTAAACGTATTTAATCAAAGTATAGGAGTCGATCTGTGATTACTACAATGTTTTTCGAATCATTATAATGTAAAAAATCGCTGTTCGCGGCTACTCACTAAAATGTTGTTTTGAGGATACGTACAATTCTCCAAAATATATTGTAAATGGTGTTGCTACTTTTTTTAGTAGTGTTTTTATTATGGAATAAACTTACTTCAAATCTCTGAACAAGAAATTATATTTGCCTCTAAAAAGCTCAAAAATAAACTAACTATTGTTCCAGATAATTTATCGTCTTTGTTAAAGAGTGTATTCATGTTTTGTCCATGCCGTTATGCAAGTTGTTCAATTTAGCCACAAAAACATTTAAATTTCCATATGCGTGGAAAACTGCAAGTGTGTATCTCGTTTTCAAATCTGGGGATCGTTCTCAAATAGTTACCTGTAGAACAATTTCGGTTTTGTGTAACTGTGCTAAGTTTCTGGAAATGGTCATTGACAGTCGAATATACAGGGTCTGTCAGAAAGAACGTATGTTTTTTAAATGGATAGTACAGTCAAAATGAGTATGGGAAAAATATTTTATTATATCAAAATACTCAGAAATACATGCTATTCTTTGAGTAAATATGGCGCGCTTGAGCCGAAATACAGGAATCAAGTCTCTCCCGAAATGAGCCCAGTAATCATCGTTGGGACTTCTGCACACCAAACTGTAACCTTCGGGATATGCAGGGGGTGCTCATGCAACTGTTGGGTGTTCACTGAAGACCAATATCGACAATTTTGTTTATTGACGTATCCATGTAAATGAAAATGTGCTTCATCACTCATAAACAACGTCATGTCATTGTTATCATATGTTCAATCGTGAGCTGTGCAAAATTAACACGTTGTGCATAAACCCCTGTCAACAGTTGTTGAAAAACTTGGATTTTGTAAGGATGGAACAGTAAATCCTTCTTCAAGATGCGACATACAGAGGACGCGTGGATCCCTAGGGAACTGGCATGCAAACGGACGGAACGATTCGGGCTTTGCAGCGAGCGTGTCAACTCTCACTCTGTCTACGTTTTCGGGGGTTCTAACAGTACGTTTTCGCACATCACATTACTTGTTGTGTTGAATGCTTCCACCCATCTCCAAATGCTGTTGCGTGTGTTGGAACACGAAAATGAACGCGAAACTCACGTTGCGTTGGAACGACAGACTCAGCATTTTGAAAGTACCTACGTACAGTGAACACACGATGCTCAACGTTCCAAACCATCTTGCCAACTGAAACTGCATTTCTCCCAATATCCAACACGCCCTTCCCCATCGACACGGGACCAGCCCACTCGATGTAGTACCCATTCGAAAAACATGCGTTCTTTCTACATAATACATAATTCCGTACGGGATCTCATTTCACCCTATCAGTATGGCGTTGCGGCAAAGAGATCAACGACAATATTTGTCAGGTTGTGTTGATAACGTGGCCAAGTAGATGTTGTATACACCGATTTTGTCAAAGCCTTTCACAGGCTAGTCTATGCAGTTCGTATTAAAAAACTTTAAAATTTATGGCTTAAATCATTCCGCGTTGCTATTTTTTGAGTCATATCTGTCTAACAGAAGGCAGTTTGTTTCATACAGTTTTTGCAACGCTCATGAATATCCTTGTACATCGGGAGTACCGCAGGGATGATATCTTGGTCCACTTCTTTTTACATTATTTATAAATGACTGGTGCGGTACTCTCAAATGTAACAAACTTCCTTATGCTGACGATTTGAAAATTTTCCCATATATTACATGAGGAAGAAATAGTATGTACCTGCATTGATCTGAGTCGATGTAAGACGTTACAGCATATGCCGCCGTGCCAATCGAAGAATACCACAACATCAAAGCGGCATACAAGTTACCACGCTTTTGTTCTTCATCAAATTTGGGCGGCTTACCGAATTTGCTAAAATCGGTCAATTCCTTGCAAATTTCTAACCATTGCTTATGCAGCTTGGCAAATACGATCGCTGAATACAATTGACCACCCATGCTCATTATGATTGCTAAGTCTTCACTAAGGTTTAGATCTTTGTGTTCTGAAACGGAAAACATCTAGGCTGGGAAAGAACATACCTTCTCTTTTCTCCAACAGCCTGTTTTAAGGATTATTCTTAGTACTTCTCATCTAATTGTTTGATGGTGTGTATTGAGATGACTGATAAATAATATCAACTTTCGTTTGTCAAAAATGCATCTTTATCATTTTTGTTACAATCGTAATTATTCAACAGAATAACACTGATTGTTGACTTTCAACATGCTCGATAAACTTTAATTTTGTATCAAAATCAACACCAAGAATGTTTTTAGAATAAGAAAATGTCAAGATTTGGTCATTTATCTGAATTTTCAAGAGCTGTGATTTTTTCTTTGGGCGCAAAATAATAACATCTTCGATTCTTGAGGAGAAATGAGTTGAGTATAGTCTGAAGAGTGCTTGATTAATTTACTAACATCGTTTTGTGAAATTTAGGCGGTATTATTGTCATTATATTTTAATCAACCGGTTAGTATTATAAATGGTAAGGAAGCCGAACGCAATTTTTTTATTAGACCATCGCGTACTAATACGATATGATAAAAAATGTTCCAATCCTACGTACTTTGATACTAAAAAGTAACTACCTAGTTTGCTGTTGCATTAAAGTTTGTAAAGTTTGACTGATTTACCATGAAAAAAAATAGCGATTTATGATCGAAACGTTCTTGGTTTTGCGATTCGCTCATAGATGGCTCGTCATTCTACCATCAAGACGGTGTTGCCAAATTAACAGAAATGTTTAAAATACGCTACATTTATACTGAGCTGAGTGGAGTTCAGTTCTTTATCTGAATTTTCAAGAGCTGTGATTTTTTCTTTGGGCGCAAAATAATAACATCCTCGATTCTTGAGGAGAAATGAGTTGAGTATAGTCTGAAGAGTGCTTGATTAATTTACTAACATCGTTTTGTGAAATTCAGGCGGTATTATTGACATTATCCGGATTAAAATAATGGAACAACTGCGTATCATCTGCAAAGGGCTGGACACAAGTATTTTGAGTTCTTTGATGAAGGTAACTGTCGAAAAATGAATGGGATAAATTGTCAAGTCCTACGTAATTTAGCAAATAGTAATTTATAGGTGATGCTGGAAAAAGCTTTTCGAATGGTCTGTCGAGATCTTATTTAATGCACTTGAAATATTGTCTTGCAAATGTACTCGAATTTTTCCTAAAACCGGATTGAGTATCGAGGTAGACAAGCGGCCAATTAGAATTTTACTATTTTCTCTAATTTGTTTTAAAGTTTAATTTCCTTGAAAAAGCAAATTGAGTTTCCAAAAAATACTTACGTTATATAAAAAATGGCAATACCAACCATTGCAAAAACTAAAAACTTTTTTGCTTCCATGGTTTTCGAGCTATTGTTGAAATTTGATATACTCGTACATTTTGAGAAAAACCCGCTTTCCTCAGGTCAAAGTGTACAAATAAATATTTTATTTCACGGAACATAGGAGAACAAACCGACACGATTTTTGTGGTTATGAGAAGTTTTAATGAGTATGAGTTTGTGTAGATTTTAAGAGCTTTAACGGTTTTTTTTTTCTCTCAAACTCACCTTTTATCGTCGAAATGAAGTGAAACAGCACTCCAAACCACAGAGTGGAACAAAGTAACCGAAACAAGAAGAACTTTACGAAGAATATCCATTTTGACTCTTCTTGCTTTTGAATGCAATATGTAAGATCCAGCCATTTCAGGGAAATGTAAAAAGCGGTACCTTTCCTAATTGGGTACATAGCTGTATCTAACGAAATGTATTTTGTTTTAAAGTAATATTTTTCCGAATTTTATTGTTATTCAATTTCAAAATGTCTAATTACCGCAATTTTTATTTAACCAGCTTCTGGTTTCAAATGTGAAATAAATCTGATTTGCGTTAAGCCTCTAGCTTTCATCCGTAATTGCAGAGGAATTATATGAAGGTTAGTTTAAATGGGTCTAGGCATATGACATGGGCATATCCCAGTGACCAACGTGCTTGTATGTATACAAAATCGTTACTAAGGGCCATATCGTCAGTCGTCCCTGCAATTGTAGTACGCCTTTATGACCTCCTTGATTTTCATAGTTTTTCTTATCCTTCAGAAAGGCAGAGGTATTACTAGATTTCTACTGTTTCGTGCCAGTCTTCTATTTTGCGGTTATATTTCCTTTTTGAACTCTGAGAAATTTCAGGCTTATAAAACTTTTTTTCATCTCTTTTATCAGCCTGATATTTCTTAGGATTCAAAAAGAAAACATAACCTCACAATTGGGGAGAGCGTTGACGCTGACACGGAACAGTAGAAACCTAGAAATAGCCTAGCCATTCAGAAGGAGAGAAAAGACTATGAAAATCAAGGAGGCCATAAAGGTGTCCTACAATTGTAGGAACGACTGACGATACGGCACTAAGCGTCATCTCACAAATCAGTGCACACAGGGTGTCATCAAACTTGGGACTTTCCTTTACACGGCGTAAAATTATCAATTTTTACTCCAAAGTCTTAAGATTACCGAGATGTTAAGCTCCGCAAAATAAATCAAACCTAAACAAAACCTAATCAAACGTGAATACGTACTGAATCAAGGCGCTGGTCCCGTTGCCCGTTGGTAAACAAAACACTTACACATTGGTTCTAGAAAAAACAAAACAAAAATGGCACGTTCATACAGTAATGTCGGAGATGTCCATATTATTCTAATTTACGGTGAGTGTCTTCCAAATGCTACCGAGGCTTCACGAATGCATGTAGATCGTTTTCCAAGGTCCTTTGTGATTTCTTTTTTGTTTGGGGCGAAATGAGATGTTTGTCAATCTGCTGCATTCATTCGGGAATCTATCGCAGACAACTTTGGACAATACTTACAAGTGACAGCTCTGCTTGAAATTTTTTTTTCGATGAACGGTGAGTACTTTTTCATATTTTTGTTTACTTTTCCGCTGTTGTTTCACCGGACATTATAGCTTTATTATTGCAAACGTAGTTGTTTCTGAAAAGGAAAGTCCTAACTTTCAGGATACCCTGAACCCTGAACCTCGAAAACTGACAAATTGGCACTCTTCATTTGGGCTGCTAAGGACTTTGCCTTTTTGTTAGTGAAAATTATTAATGAATTTTCGGCCTTCCAAAATATTATTCCGCTCAAATTGAGATCTTGTATGATATTTAATCATAGCTTACGCATATCAGATACCTTAACATTCAAAGTATGTCCTAATGAATATCTCAATATATTTTTTATAACACACCCACGCAGGTAATTTAAACAGAATAATGCGTAAACCAGGCGAGTGCATTTTATATGCCTGTTATCAAAGGGAATATCGAATTGTTTGAGCTTAATCAAATATTTTTATCATATACTATTATCGGATAAAAAATGCAGTTGATTGGAGGCGTGTTTACTTGAAGCTTACCCAATTAATATTTAATTGATAATTTCAAATTATACGCCCTACTGTTCTTTGGATAAATAGAATGTAAGAGAATTTGCGACCATTGCTTACACCCATAATAGGAATAATGTTAGGCTTCTGATAGTGAAGAAATCAGAATGAGACTGTCTGATGCTGAGTTTTTCTTATTTAATAATAATAATAAACGACTTTTTTATTTGTACAAATTATTAACAGATTCGTTGACTTCCTTGTTGCTTCGTTTCGGGTAACCTCTCTGCACCCAAGCAACAGCAGAGAAGCTGATAATTTGGGCCCTCTCCTATTCCGTATATCATGTATTGACCTTTAGTCAAAGAGTGATTATATCAAGAGAAGAGACTTCCTGGTTGAATGTCTTTTTAATCAACCGGTTAGTATTATAAATGGTAAGGGAGCCGAACGCAAATTTTTTATTAGACCATCGCGTACTAATACGATATGATAAAAAATGTTCCAATCCTACGTACTTTGATACTAAAAAGTAACTACCTAGTTTGCTGTTGCATTAAAGTTTGACTGATTTACCATGAAAACAAATAGCGATTTTTGATCAAAACGTCCTTGGTTTTGCGATTCGCTTATAGATGGCTCGTCATTCTACCATCAAGACGGTGTTGCCAAATTAACAGAAATGTTTAAAATACGCTACATTTATACTGGAGCTGAGTGGAGTTCAGTTCTTTTCAGATCAAATACACGCAGGGACCATTCAAGTATTATGTAAGCACTAAAGAGGAGGAAGAAGGCCTTTTTCTACTTTTCCGAGTTTCTACGATATTTTGTCGATTTTGATCTGAGCCCATATGGCAAACCAGCTTGTCTCTGCTGGCTCGAGAAGAACGATGTTAACAGTCCTAAATAACGCGAAAGTGAAGCAGGTCACAACATCGAGCAGCAAACATCTAGTGTCATCTAAGACTTTAGAGTGATGGACGCAAGTGTCATGGACTGAGTACTGCTAAAGGTTATATACGAAGAACAAAACGAATGAACGTGTTAATCATTAACATTACAGTAATTGCATTACCATGTTAATAATTTGCTTGAATAAATATTATATGCGTTAAATTTCTCTATCTTAAGCATGTTCCTTATTTCTAAACTTGATAGCTGCTGCTCGTGAATCAATAAAGGAACCAGAACAGATTGAACATGTAGCAGCACGGTTACGTAAGATTGGGTGGAGAGAGGGTGTAAAAGAGTTACTTATTTTTGTTGACAAAGGGAAGCGGAGGGTTAATAATTGTAAAATTCTGCATACGTAATACTTGAACTGCCCCTCCCCCCTCGATTGGTCAAATAAGCAATTTGAGGTTAGAAAATTTGAATTTCAAGATGACACTGAGTTAGTTAGAAATATTTGAAATTCGCGACTTCTATATTGGAATCATGAGATCATATCTTTAATAGTGAAACTAGACAGCTCCATTACATTCGTATAAGAAATCAATTTTACCGAGAATTTCATATATTTCCAAAAATAAACTAACTTAGTTTTGAATCCTCTCTGTTGGTACCCGCCACCATAAATCGTGTAATATTTCGCGTGGAGCCTAAAAGTTAAATAAAACGTATGTTATAAAAGCAGTGCAGTTAAAAAAAAACAACTTTCAACAAAACCTAAGCATTTATTGCGTTTCTACTACAAAACATTTTCAAAGTCTTTGGTAACAATGTAACTTTTATAGGTTTAACTTCATATGATTCGTTATCGATGGAAAACATGGCATTTTTATTTGATTCCGGGTTAATCTCCAACATTTTTGCTTCGATAATCTCCGTCAAGTCACTTTTCTCGCCTTTCTCCCTTCTGAATCCATTTCTGATGAAGTCGAAATAATCAACACGGTCCGGACCAATTTCTACAATGAGTTTTGAAATATCCTGTGCTTCATTGGCATTGCGTGAAACATTTGTCGTCAGTAGTGTCAAGTCAGATGTGGTAATCTTTTTTTCATGTATTATATCACATTCTGGATTATAAATTCCCGAGTACTTCCTTTTATCCGTGTCGTTGTCTTTCATAAATCTGAAAAAAGTTGAAATGTGTAGTTTACCTTAGTATATTCACAAGAAAACAGAAATTACAATCTCACGATGACAAACAGCAAAAAAATTTAGTATAGTAATAAATAAGGGTATGTAAAAGTTTTTGGAATATTTTGATATATCCTTGCACTCATTGCACAATGACGAATCAACTGGAAGCATAGAATGTTTTTATCGCAAAACTCCTAAGCCTAAGACTTAGTTTAAAACTGTCATATCTTACCTACTAAACCATCCGCTAGATTGTTTAGGTTTTTTCTTATAACAATGTGAACATCCCTCACATGGTATACTGTAGTCGATTGTAGCTTTACAATCCCATGAAATGCTGCTTCTCAGTCTGTAACAATGCAGATATATGCAAAATTTCTTTCTGACTTTCAATAAATAATAAGCTTTCAGTGATTTGAACTACATTGTAAACGCGATAAATTCTGTTAAGCAAACAAGAAAACGTTGCAATCACCAAATAGTTTTCATTTGCGTATTTTTTTGAAGTCACCTAACTTAACCTAATCTAGTGCCATATGGGAAATCCTAACATTCTCAGGTAGTGTTAAGTTAGTTTAAGTAGCCTTTTAAATCTATTAAAACTTCTACGCTAGCAACATCAACGGCTTCAAGAAATTATTTCACTTGATTAGAAGTTTGCTTTTTTGACAAAAATATGTGCTTTGAAACTACATCCAAGAAAGAATAGACAAAATAAGTAGACACAATATAAAAACAGCAATTCACAGAAAGTAACATATCCATGCACATAACTTACTGAAAAGCAATTAGTAACCTATTATACAGGGTAATTCACGCGTCGTAACCAAAAATGAAGCATCATACACAGGTCGAATTTTATTTTTATGAAAACCTTCTAGGAAAAAAACACAAGAGTAATTCTTTGTAGCAAATTGAAGGAAAAATTGAATAATTTTTGTTTGAAAAAATAATGCCACTAATCTAATACTTAGGTAGATCCACATACCAAATTTTAGTTCGTTCCAGTTGACGGTTTCAAAGATATTAAAAAGAAAATGTTTTTTTATTTTTAAACTTCAACACCACCCTCGAAAAAATGTTACATAGAAGAACCTCCTTAAAATGCAGTCATGTGTATCATGTTTCATTTTAGGTCAGGACTTGTGAATCACCCTGTATATAAGAGAAACAAACATTTTTTATTAGAAAAAAATTACCCTGCTGAACAAGAAAATATGACAATCCTATCTGATATATTATCAGAAATATGATAAATCCCCACAAACAAATGAACAGTAACTCTCAGGTCTTCAACTTTATTAAATTAAATATGTGTCACTCAAGATATAATTGCATTCTATTAATGCCAGCGTTATGTTAAAAGAGAGTTTGTAACATTTAATTAATATTTAGGAATAACTAAACTACCCAAAATAAATCAACAAGATAAATAACTTACCCATTAAAAACATATGTTACATAATTCTTCATGGGTCCAAAGTACCAATAACTATCCTTTTTAACTTCTGCATCCCTATATGCGCCCCATTTCAGCTGACCAACTGCGTAAACTGGTTTGGTAGTGTCCTCATCAAGAATTTCAATTTTCATAATATCCATCGGTTTGACTGATTCTTCTATCACAGCCATCGTAGCTTCGGCTAACGCTTTTACCTTTTCTACTTTGTTGTGCCAGGGAAAGTATACTTTGGCCACAGAGTTGTTTTTCCCAAGAGGCAGAACACCGAGAGGTACCAGATTTTCTAAGGATGATTAACAGAACAGCTGCAGTAATATTATCAAGTGATGATATTCAGAACTAGTAGTAGGTTCACAATCTATGAATTCATGCTCAAGGAATATCGAATGTTTGGCTTGCCCACATTCCTAAGCATGTAAGTATTTTGCACAAGAAGAGCCTTTCAAGGCCCCTTCAACATAGCTCTGACCCTATTGATAGCTGTTCACTACAATTTATGCAAGACTATAAAATATGTGATTTCCAATTTTGAACATACACCATCTTAATAATAATAGAGACATACCAGAATTCTCATTAGTTTTTCTAAAGAGTCCAGTTACCACTTCCAACAAAGTGCCATCACCTCCAGCTACTACTATGGCATCTGTCCCGCTTATGGAATCAATGAGACTCTTGGCATGTCCTTCAGATTCAGTCTTCTTAACATCCACAGATATGCCTGCGAGATGAAGCAATGGAGCACAGTACTTCTCAAATTCAGTAGCTGCTTTTCTCTTGTTTGCACTTGGGTTTAATATGACCGTAACATGCCTCGGACTCAAGTTATTGGGAAGCGATTCCTTGCCATATGACGCTGCTTTTTGGCAGTACTGTCTCATCAGCTCTTGCGTTCTAGGCGTGAAGAAATAGATTTTTAAGACTGCAAATTTGTAAACATAACCAATACTTACTCAAAATAATTTTTAACGTAAATAACGCCATACCCTCCTAAGACTGTAAAGAAGACAGATTTCTTCCAATTGTTGCGGATAGTTTGTATTGTTTTTGTAACCTTCGTAATAACAGGCATTGTGTTTGATTTCTTAAAACTGAGACATAATAAAGAAATTCAATTCAAATTACATAAATTTTTTCGCATGGTTTTGGCAGGTGGCTGACAAGACGTCATTCCATCAGTAATCACAACTTGAGATGAATGGCTCGGAAAAAAGGTGTGGTTTCAATACTAATATATGTCACGTGATTAATTATCTTTTCCTTGATTAGTCATCCTACAAGGATGTTGCTACTCCCTGGTTTCTGCTTCATTGAGACCTGTGACATTAAATAGCACTGTTGCCACATTGTGGATTTTTTCTCCAAGCATGGGTAATTTTTACGAGTCAAGGATTTTTGGGAGCTTAAATGTTCTGAGGGATTTTTTGGGGGAAAATAAAGTTGTTGGGCATTTTTGTTGGTATTTTATGCAATCTTTATGTACGAAAGCCTGTCAATTTAAACCAAGAGCAAAGGTCCTACGGACCGCTCTGACAGACAATGACGAATAGAAAAAGTCTGTCAACTGCTAAATAACATTTTTTTTCTCTCATGTCACACCCGTCTCCATCACACAGACATACTAGTTTGGAGACCGACTGCAAGAGGCTGTAGAGCAGCATCAGAATTGGTGTCTCCGTCGGAGAATTAGATTGAACGCTGACAAAACCCAGGCAATTTTAGTCACTAAAAGACGACAATCATTACCAGCCGAAATAATTATTTGTAACCAAAGAATTCCATGGGCATATCAAGCAAAATATTTAAGACTCACAATTAACGCATGTCTAGCTTGGAAATCGCATGTAGAATCGATTAGAACAAAGGCTATAATTACATTTCGTAATTTATATCCCATGCTCAAACTGACCTTAACTAATAAACTAGTAAGTGCAGCTTGGTGCTTTGCTGCCAACACCCACATTACAAAACTGCAAGTGATACAAAACAAGGTTTTACGAACAATATTGCATGCTCCTTGGTATGTATCTAACGCGACCATTGATCATGACCTGGATATTCTTTTCTTGTCTCAATTCATTAAACAAAATGCAAGCAAAAGTTACGAACGTGCAAGTTCACATTCAAATCCTTTTTAATAAGAGATGCGGTGACATACGATCCTGCATCCATTCACAAACACAAAAGACCTAGATTAGCACTTCTTTAACAATCTGAACATCTAAAACTATGATTTATTCTTTGTTGATTACTTTTTTCATATAATTTTCATAACTGTATAATCTATCTTTGGCATTTTTTGTTAAAGATATTCGCTTTTCTGCCAGTTAGAACCTCAGTAATTTTTGGGCAAAAGGCCCCCGGCCTACCCTGATGAGCAGAAGAAGTCAAGTCAAGTCAACCCGTCTCCATAGTTGTTGGACTTGTAGATTCACTGATCTGCGATTTCCCAATCCCCAAGTCGCGGAGTAATAGCGAATGCGCGTATCGTTTTACGTTCATTTGCAATTGTGGGCCAAGTAACATGTTAGTCTGACAGGTTTGAAAAATTGCCTCAATTCGTTGGTAAAATTAATTATGTACCCAACTAGTCCAACTTCTACACCCTCCCCTTGACTACAGAAAGATGATTTAGGGGATTTTTTTAAAATAGTTATAAATCTGGGGGATTTTTCGCTCGTTCTGCAGAAATTCTTTTTGATCCATCTGGCAACGCTGTACTGACATTAGTCACCTGTCACATTTGATAAATGAATGTTTTATGATTTGTAGGTTATGTTGTTATGAATGTAAAGCACTGAAAATAATTTATTAATATACAAAATGTTAACCAATATCTCTCCAAAGTTACGACTGTTTTCAAAGTTTTACTCTACTGCCCTGTCGGTTCCCAAAGAATCAGTCGTCGAGCCGAGGAAGTTGCTGTTTCCCCCAAAATACAAAAAACCGAGACAAGTGTGGCTGGAAAATTTGGACACCATTGATGAGCAGAAGCTTGGCATCCTAGAGCTACACCCTTCCGTATTTGCGGCAAATCCAAGAATCGATGTTATACAAGCGAATGCAAGATGGCAAACCCTATACCGATATGTCAGCTATGCACATACAAAGTCTAGGTTTGAATGTAGAGGGGGTGGAAGAAAACCATGGCCACAGAAAGGTATTAAGGCCCGTATTGTCAGTCGTCCCTACAATTGTAGGGCGCGTTTATGGCCTCCTTGATTGTCATACTTCTTTCTCTCCTTTAAAAATTTCTAGATTACACTTGTCCCGTGTCAGCGTCAGCGCTCTCTTATTGTGAAGATATCTTTTTCTTTTAAATTGTAGGAAATTTCAGGCTGATAAAACATGATATAACTCAAAAGCAAGCACAATTTGATGCAAATAGATGTTTGTGACATAACCTCAAAATAGAGCACTGACATGGAAAAATAGAAAACTATGACAATCAAGGAGGCCATAAAGGCGCCCTACAATTGTAGGGACGACTGACGATACGGGCCTTTTTATTTAGTTATTGCAAGCAGACAAAGTATGACAACAACTGAGGACCACCTTATTTGATAAAGTTTCTTCCAAATAGCTTGGCATGATTTTCTCTGCATAATTTGTACTGATTTCCCCAAAAACTGCAGGTCGATAACATATTTGTAATGACTAGTTAGTAAATCAAGTGTTTCAAGTACATTTATTCTTTTTACTCCTCTGTCTCAGAAGGAGAGTTATTATGATTATGATCGAGTATTTTGCAGTATAGGTCTTATTGGTACTTACTTCTTTCTTACTCACTTTGGACTGTTTGTGAATTTTGGAACCAATATCATTATTTAGGTGCTTGACTGCTTGAAAAAACAGGAAAATTTTACTGCTGACCTTTTTAACATGTCTCCCACTTTAAATGTTTTTTGAATAACAATAGACTGTAATTTTTATTCTAGGTTTGGGTAGAGCTAGGCATGGTTCAATTAGAAGTCCACTTTTTCGTGGAGGAGGTGTAATTCATGGTCCAAAGTCACCGACTCCTCATTTTTTCATGTTGCCTTTCTATACCAGAATTCTGGGTCTAACAAGCACTTTGTCTGTGAAGCTAGCTCAAGATGACTTACACATTGTAGATAATTTGGAAATACCTACAGATGAAAGTACCTATTTAGAAGAACTTGTTAAAACCAGGAATTGGGGGCCATCTGTGTTGTTTGTTGATACGTAAGTGCTTATTTCTGTTAGTGACACTGATTTTCTAGCTTCTAGTCTGCTATAATGTTTGAATACTCTTGTTAGATTCTTTGAATTGCCTTTAAACTTCACCAGTAGCAAATCTAGGATTTCTGTATTTTGAAGCATAAGTTTTATCTGCTATTGGTTCTCCATAAACCATGTCGGGGATCTCCTCAAGCGCTGGCGCCCAACACACAGTACACCATGTGCATGGCCTTCGATGCTCTTTACCACACCTCCAATACTTGAAAAAATTATGAGCACTTCTCAGCACATTTTGGGCAAGATTGTTGCTTGGTATCATATATATATTGGCCTTACATAATATTTAACTGTGGCATCTTAGAGTAAATTTGGCTTATAAATGATTTAAAGAACAAAATGTTAAAAAACTGCATGCACAGATTACATTTAAAGGGAAAATCTGGAGAGTAAATTGAGAAAAAGTGCAACTTATAACAGACAATGAGCATGAAAACCACAATGAAACAAATGGAACCAACTCAGAAAAATCACTGAATATTAAGTAAACATGTTCATATCTTTCAGATCCTGATATGACAAAAAAAGCCTTTACAATAAAAGTACGACTCGAAATGCCTTCAGCATTTTATCCATGATAGCAAATATGTTTACAAGTTTTTATCAAAATTCAATAAATCTGGGTGTTGCATCTTATATGTCATAGTATATTATCATTATTTCTAACTCATTTTATCGGATATCAAATTGTTTCAGGGAGGATATCATGCCAAGAAACATTACAGCTGCTTCCGATGCTGTGAAGCATTTCAATCTGATGCCAGTATATGGTTTGAATGTGTACTCAATGTTGAAACATGATACACTTGTACTTACTAGGTCAGCTGTCGATACTATAGAAAGTAAGATACTAACTCATTTGCATAAAAGTGATACTACAGCTTGTTTGTCAAAATACAAAGTAGATCAGAAATAATAAATCATATATTTAGTATATAAGACTTGTTTTTTCCTTATAGCCGACCGTCCTCGCGCGTCTGGAATGTATTGTGACATGCAGTCCTTGCATATGATAATAATAAATGGCCTTTATTTTACCTAGCGGGTTACATCAGCATCTTTTTAAACGCTCAGTCGAGGACTGGGCAATGAACAAATTTTATAGACTCATTCAAGTGGTTCCACTCCACGGACATCTTTAGTAAACGGCGAAATATTTATTCGCTTTGGCGGGAAACCATGGCATTTATCCTTAGCACTCAAGCTGACCACTCGCAATATCTTGTTTTTATCTTGGCATAAGCTGCTGTGTGATATTGTCGTCGTGACTGGGACGCGGCCAGTGGGGATAAGTAGCTTGGTGCTTGGAAATTTAGTCGCCATGGAGCGTTCCACTGGTGAGCAGCGTGCGTTCTGGGTTAAGGCTTATTACAAAAATTGAGATACGTGCACTATTACGCGGCGTCTGTTTCGCTCTGAGCTTAGTTTACATGATCTAAATAAATGTCCTAGTGAAAGTGTGATCAGGTCATGGGTCAGATTGTTCGGGTATACCGGTTTGACACTGAATCAGAAACTTGCAGGGCGTCCAAGGTCAGTACGGCGCGATCCACAGTTATCATCCCGAAAGAGATAGCTGAGCTCGCCATATGAAGAACATCTATAAGGCGTATTTTGGTAAAATACCTTAAATTGCAGCCATATAAACTTCAACTACTGCAGGAATTTTAACCGCAGAACCACCATCTACGCCGTGCGTTTGCCGAAACTATGTTTCCAAGTTTGAAGCTGTTAAAGCTTATTTTCATTAGAGTGGATTTGTCAACAAGCCGAATTACCGGTATTGGGCCGCAACACCCTATTTCTTCGAAAACGAGCAAGGCCAGACTGCAACAGTAAATTCTAATCGCTGTATAGCAATGCTACGTAACATTTTCTTTCCAAAACTGCATAATTTTGAAGCCTACCATAGCAGGACGTGGTTTCAACAAGATGGCGCGACATACATACCGCCAACGAGTCTTTAGCAGTTGTAAATGAAATGGATTCTTTTGTCTAGCGATACCTCAAGAGCCGGGTTTACGCCAATAAACCCAACTCAAGCACATTTCCGAGAAGGTGTTAGCTATCCCACAACTGATGTGCCAGCGAGTTTTCACGAATTTAAAATCGAGATTCGAGGAGTGCATACATCTCGATGGCTCACATCTCAATGATATATTTTAAAAATAAAATTTCTAAACTATAAATTATCTTCGCTTCGCTTTGTAGTTTTTTCTATGATTTTCTAAAATCCGCTCAACCTAATGGTCCGCCCTGTATCTGTGACACATTGCCGAATATACTGCGTATATTTGACGTGCATATATGGATTTTTCCACGTGATTGGTGACGCGTTTTCGAAGTACAAACCACTTACTCGGCTAGCTGGGTGTGCAAGTCTTGTGCATACCTAGGGTCGGAGAGAGCATCGAAAGGAATTTGTGCGCTAATCTTTGTATGAAAAAGTTTCAGATAATTCCCAGTATGGTGCACAGAACGTTCAGAAAAGTATCACGCAAGGGCAGCTTTTATTCCAGACGTACATATCCTTCCTCCCTGCTCTTTTTTATTTCCCTAACCAAGAATCCTGTGTATCACCACTGCCCCCCCCCCTCCCTCGCTAGCCTCCCCTAGACAGATGTCTAAATCCTCCCTTGATTTCACATTGAAAAAAAATTTAATTCGTATACTTTATTCTCATATTTACATAACATAAATAAAATATAATGTAAAATATAAAACATATCACCTCAAACGAAAACATTGCGATTTGTTTATTACCAACTGAAACATAATTCATTAAAAATCAGTCAAACTTTTGCGCACTTCACAACCTATCGAGTTTCCAAAAATAAACATTTTTATTCAATACTGTTTAGCTTATCTCTAGATCTGAACTTCATCAATTCATTGATGTAGTACCAGTAACATTGTATGTAAGTAACCTTACCATAAAAAGATCATTGATAACTAGTGCGATTAACTGTTTTCTATAAAGGCACACATTTTTAAAAAATACTGTAGCTTTCAGATTAAGGAGTTGAGATTCAACATTTTAAAGATTTTATAGCCGAGATAACTTTTTATCTATTTGGCCACACCAAAATACTGTCTAATGCCACTTACACTTGTGCAAGTTGTTGCTTATGGCGTTGCGCCAAAAAGAAGATTCGTTCCACTTGGGGCGTAAGGATCGTTTTATTTAACCGTGATGAAATATTGACAAATATCTGTACGCATTTAATCTCACTGTACTACAATTTTATTCGATTATCCTGTTTTAGAAAAATCTGCTCTATGAAGCCTATATACCAGGAGAACCGGCAAAAAACGACCCCAAAACTTGACGCCGTAGTAAATTATCTGAGGCTGAAAAAAATTTTTGCTGTGCTGATATCCCAAAAAAATTCGCACCAAGTAAAAATCCTCCAAATTTAGGGGAACATTTCCAACATGGCAACCCTGTCAGAGCACCACTGGTTTTCCAGGCGTCAACTTTCGGGGTCGTTTTTAAATCATCTCTGCCAGGGTTGTCAAACCTACCGATTTTTCGGTGTTTCTACAGAAATGAAACCACGTTTACCGAAATGTCGAAAACCTCCTCATCTTCCACGATTTTTTAAAATATTTCAGATATTTACAAATTTTTTCACCGAAAAAAAGCTGAATTGGAAAGCAAAGCTAAAAAAGTGCATTTTATTTTGTTCTATGCTAATTTTGAGGGGATATTCTCCGCTATTAACTTAATGAAAACATAGCAATGAAATAGAGTATGTTCAAAAATATCAAGTAGTTTGTTACAGTTTCAGTATCAATGTCGGCATGATTTCTAGTATTTCCAAATAGCATTCGTATAACACCAAAGATGATCGAAATGTTTTGTTATTGAAATAGAAGAAATCAAGGCAAAATCCAGTCGCGCTCTATTTTTCATGAAAATTATTTTTTATTTTTCGCTCATTTTTATTTGTTTTTTTTGGAATTAGAAAAGACATTTCTAAAGTTCTCTTTTTAGCTAGGAAGCGCTTAGTTAGTCATTTTAATCTATTTTATCCTGGTGGTAAAATTAAAAATATGCCAAACGATTTTGGACTACATCTTTATATTAAAATTATTATTTTTGTTTGTGCCTGTTATACAGTAGTCGTTATATTATATTTTTTAAGTTTAATTTGTTTTTATGTTCATAAAAAGACCTGTCTACGCCTGTGTTCTGTGTGCAATAATAATATGTCATTTTTCCAATTTACCGTTTTTCGTTTGGCAGCACTGTCCATAGCACCTCCTGGCATATAGGCTCCATGGTCATTACAAAGAGAAACTGACTTGTACAAAAAACTTATTTTTCTTCATTATGTTGAAGCAAGTTTCAACTAGCTTGTAAGGGACAAACTGTGATGGAATGCCATTTTAGAGACGTCTCTTTAACTAAAGAGGAGGCACAGATGTGTGGAATGACATTTTGATTTTTCGTTAGCATCTTTACGACATATCTAAGGAGCTACCGGAACTTCTTTAACAAAGACTTAAGTACACCCAAAGACACTTGACCCAGTGACTAATTTTTGTTTCGATGTCCTGCGAAGCTTCCTAAGTATTCGTACACTGCATTGTGCTTCTGTTTCTGCGCCAGGTCAGCGGGCGTGTAGCCTTCCTGATTTTTAAGATTCGGATCTGCTCCTGCCCCTATCAGCTGCTTGCAGACTGTGAGGCTGCCAGAAAAGGCAGCTGCATGTAGAGCACTTTCTCCATTCTGGAAAAGAATAGTAAGCCATTATACAGGGTGTCCGCAAAGTTGGGGTTTTCCTTTACACGACGTGTAGATCTTGAAAACATAAGCAATTTTTCTTAGTACCATATACACCAATGTCTTGAGGGAACCGAGATAAAGGCATCTGCAACATCAAAAATATCTGAATACCGTCCTGTAGCCGCGACATCCCCGAGTGGTACTAGGACACTAGCTCAACCCGACGACTGAACTGGGTCGGGGTCAGTGCGTCAGGTCAGTATGCAACCTTCAACCGATGGTTACGGTCACGCGTGTAGAGGTAATCGCGTAGACGAGAATCCCTCAACAAGCACTAGAGACGTGGCTAGAGAAGTGCAAGTATCAAAAACTAAAGTGTGGCAAACGCTGCGTGAAGAGGGGCTGTATCCGTTTCACGTCCAACGTGTACAAGCCCTTCAACCTGACGATTTTCCAGCAAGAGTGCGGTTTTGTGAGTGGTTGTTGCATCAACAGGACAATAATCCGGACTTTTTTAAGTGCATATTGGTGACAGACGAATCTACGTTCACGCGTAATGGGGTGAATAACTTTCGCAACACTCATGTTTGGTCAGTAGAAAATCCGCACGCTGTCCGTCGGGCACATTTTCAACAAACATTTTCGGTGAATGTTTGGGCTGGCATGGTGAACGGTATGCTCATTGGACCATTTATTCTCCCAAATCGATTGGACGGGATGCAATACCTAGACTTTTTACGCAACATTTTGCCTTCCTTGTTTGCCTGCGTCTGCTCGGTAGCGCATCAGCTGATTTCATTTTCTGTTGGAGCGGTATGATTTCGGCCAGAGACGTACTTAGCCCTTCTCGTCAACTGGAGAGTGAGTACTTTTTCCTTTATTTTTTTTACTTGGTCGCCCTCGTTTCACTACACATTACCTTTGTTATTTCAAGGGTAGTTGTTTCTGAAAAGGAAAACCCCAACTTTGCGGACACCCTGTATAGGGAATATAAATGTTTTTCTATTCTCTGTCGATTACTTCATTGAAACCTATGGAGTTGATGAGTTTAGGGATTTGCTAATTGGTATTCCTTTTATTTTTAATATTTACCGGTTGTACAGCTACTTTGAGTGGTAAGGTAAAATTACAATTATACATTAATATATTGCATGTGAAAATCAAGAATTAAGCATGAGAAAAGTGACTTAGAAGATTCAGTTTTCGTCAGAATGAAATACGGGGACAATCCAGCTAACTAATTTTTCCCAACCGCAGGGGTATCACGTATCTTGAAAAGAGACATTACGTCGGTTTTTTGAAGATTATGAATGTGTACTCGCTGTGTAGCTGTACGTGTTGCCTAAACGCTTGAGCTATCATGGTTTGGTTCTGATGTAAGGTAACATGACAATTTCCTTGGTTTCTTATCTCAAATACACTTTCTTAAAATGTATGCCTCATCCTGGAAATTAGATAAGCAAATTTGATAAATTTCGAAAATGAGAGATAAAAAAAGAAAATCCCTGCTTGGTAAAGTATATTTTACAACTAACAGGCGAGAAAATAGGCTACAGACAGGGATATTTATGACACGTGAAAAGGTAATATGTATACTGCAATTGTATTCACTGTACATCTTTAAACGATTGTTCGAATCGCAAGTTGAGTCATTAATTTTCAGATAATGATTGTAGAAGGAAGATAAACCAAAATATGTGTGTAAAAATAAAAAAAAAATTACCTTGTTTCATAAAGTATCCTCCCGACAAGTATTTCAGTGCGGACCTGTATTTGATCGTGCGGTCTTGGAGCACCGGCATGTAACCTGATTCACGAGCCCTTTGTACTACATTAACAAAGGCACGAGGGGTTGGTTGCACTCGATTGGGAAACCGATCCGCATAAACATGTGCCATTTTTTATTTCGTTTGAGCCACGCAACAGACACCACTATTCACTCACGCGTTACCGACTGACACTGACTGTATACAACTGAATAGAATAATTGTAAAAACATCGTTCCAAATTCTTTCGCTTTTTTGTTTCCAATGCGATGAACCGATAAGGCGGATTATATCCGTTGCTGCCAAACACGAGCACATAATATTATTATTGAGACAGGGCGGTACTCAAACCTCCAAAGGGCTATAACTTTGTTACTTTAATTTTACCAGAAAAATGGTAAAGGAAAAAAACATTTCTTTTGATCAGATCTACTCACTGTTAAAATAAATGACTCAACTTTGAAGTCACCCTGTATACATGCCAACAGTAATTACACACAACGTGGGTGCGGCGATTTTCCGTAATGCTTCTCAGAGTTTTTGGAAACGCAAAAAACCGGAAAAAATCATAATTCATAACATTGAACATAACCTCTCTTCAGGCAACATAAATAACACATCGCTCTACGAATTTCCGCTTACTGGGTAGCGTCTTGACTTAACAACTTACCGTTAATATTTCTAGGGATGGTTTATATTTTAATAACTCCCCGACGACAGCCGAATGCCCTTTATGAGCGGCCTTGAATAACGGCGTTGCACCATCCTGAAAGTAAATGTAATTATCGATAAATAATGTTCAACTATTTTGTACGTACAGGAATTGAAGAACGTTTATAAATTGTAGTTATCAACCAGTGGCTCTTTTCTACATGTTTGGTTCAGTTAGTTTGTTAAGACCGTTTATTTTGGATGCAGAAGATTGTGGCTTCAATTCCCACTGGTCAGCATTTTTTCTTACGTCTTCAAAAGTCAGTTTTGAAAATTGTCGTTACGCGATTTCAATAATTAAGTGAATATTGTGAACAAAAAATATTGCAATAAAATGTCAGAAGGAACATAAAGAATTATACAGTCGGAAAGGGATCAGGGAAGTATACAAGACAAGGATAGGATAGCGTACCTACTCGAAAATGGTATTATATGAGGAACCAGTTAAGCAATTATATTGTCATGATATTTAGATGATTAAATATTGAATAAAAAACATGTATTTAAACCACTACAGGTGGTTATAAATCCGAAATAAATATCACAGAAAAGGAGACATCGCGTTGACATTTCGAAACTGATGGTCATATCTGGCAGGCCAAACAAACTAACTGAAAATGCTTTAATTAGGTCATTATTATTATTATATAGGCATTGTTTTAAGATAAACGGACAGGCAGTCCGACAGACAAACAGATATACAGCAAGGTTGCCAGCGGTGGTGATTTTACACCAAATCTGCGATTTTTTTTATCCATTTGGTGATTTGGTGGAACCTTTCCTAAAGTGCCACATTGCTGGTGGTATTTTTAAATGACTGCATTACAGTTATTGAAGACAAACATACAGAAAACACACAACAACTGAAATCTGAATAAACTAAAATGTTTCTTCTAAGAAATTTGAAGCTCGTTATGTTTTTGTTGATTTTTATTGTGGTAAATAGTAGCCAGACTGTATTTCACTTTTTTTTAGTTCGTATCGATTACTTATCCGAACCAAAGTACAAGTCAAAATATCAATATGTCCAGTTCAAACTCTACTTACCGTTCAGGTTACATACAAAAAAAATCTCATTTTCGAATTTTTTCGCGATTACTACCTCTCCAGTCGCGTAGGAAGTAAAAAGTGTATAGTCAAAATCACGAAAGATGACTATTACTTCATACCATAAATTGTACTGAAGTAATCAATGGACGTACGTCGATGATAAAATCACGATGTGAGGAACATAATGACAACAAATTTATATTATGATTTTGCGAAGTTAGGTTATTTCACTGATTATTTTTATTTTCATTTTATTTCATGGTTTTTAAGTGATACCATAATAATAATTTTAGTGGGGAGTTTTTGTTTTGAAAAAAAAAACGGTAGAGTTAAGACAGGAACACCAATTATGAAAGTATTATTCGAAAACAACCTAACCTGCTTTAACATAACCTAACTATTCATCTTTCAAATATAATCGATCATGCAACATGAAAACAGCGTCTATCTTTATCGGATACATGCAAATTAGCTATACAGTTTGTTTAGTCATGTCTCTGTCTAACATATCTGAAACTTCATTAAAAATATCCACAAATCGCTGTCATTTGTCTTTACTAGAGACTATACTGATGACGTAATAGTCATCTTTCGTGATTTCGACTATATACATTATCCATTTGAGAACACTTACATGCCTCGATGCGTCCACGAATGCCCCCGCTTTCAGTAGCTGGGCCACAATGTGGTCATGGCCCATTTGCGCGGCTATCCAGAGCGGCGTCGCGCCGTCAGTTCTCCGGAAATCCGGTTCCGCGCCCTGTGCTAGAAGATACACTAGGATCTTGTAGTGGCCATTTTGAGCTGCGATGAACAGAGGTGTGGCCTTGTCCTTGGAGACAAAAATATTTTATTATCACATCACGTCTTCGTTGTGGCATAACGGTGCTTTTCGAGAAAACATTCTTTTGATTATTTATGATGTAATTAAACCTCGAATTGAAAATTTGACTACGCCATCTTTTGCAGAGGAGAGAAAGTGGTAATTGCAACATGCAATTCGTTTTTAAGTCTCGTCTCAATAAGGTTAGGAAAAAATAAAAATGATTTTGCGATGAATCTATAGTGTATTTACACCCAAGATAGAATGTATGCGTGATTGCCAAAAGCCAGGACGGCGTACAGGGCCGCAATCAGGGCTACCTCCGAATGATGGACTACCACCAACGTGTTGTAAAACAAAGATGACAGTATTTCACAGAAACAGAAACTTAACGAATTACTCAAATACACTTAACAACAACAACAGCAACAACCAAGCAAGGTGAATACGAAAACACGAGCACGCAGTGATACACGCGACGGTCGGTGGCCTGAGTGCAACTCTGCGTGCCCTGCCCCTGCCCCGCGCATTATTCCGCCAGGCGACCGCTTGAAATTTAATGGCGAATTGACCAATAAGAGGCGTCCCCACCTGTTACCGAGAAATCACGCGCTAGCTGTTATTATTTACATCTCATCTTGAATTTGGATTCAGATTAGTATGCAAAACAAATGATTATTTGATAATTTCAAGGGCTACCTAGGAAATTCTGTTGACTTCGTATCTCTTACAGTTTCCGAGATCCCCATGGTGAGGGTCGAATTTGAAACACCAGGTATAAGCAGTTTGATCCTAGAGTCCTATTCTAAAAACGTGTTATCCGCATTTGAAAAATATCCGCGATTATCAAATTTACATGGCTTTAAATGGTCTTGTCATACCTTCATGTGACTATTGACTTTAGCTCCCCTTTTGATTAGCTCCTTGACTATCTCCATGTGTCCACACTGACATGCGACAAATAAGGGGCTTCCACCATCCTGAAAAATAGATATAAATAAATTAGATAAGTGAAATACTCCAACAACTTTTTTCGAGGCTGCGCAGCAGTAGTACGTATCTTCAAAAGTGACATTTTGTAGGTTTTTCAACAAAAGGTCAACACTAGCTGTTATAAACTATCTGTACCTCAGAGCCAGATAAGCAGTTTTGAGATAATTGTATTTGAATCATTTTTCCTTCATTGTATTGTATGCGACTTGATAGGAGTTAAAAAGTCGTAACTTCCTTTTATTATTACAGATAGATGGACGCTGCATGTAGCAAATGAAAATTCACAATATTATCAGAAGCTTAACCAAGGGCGTAGCTATCATAGGGCAAACCGGGGCAGTGCCCCGGGGCCCCGGCTTATAGGGGGCCCCGGCCATGCGCCTCAAAAAATTGTTTTTAAGCGGCCATCAGCAATACATTCATTAAGTGCTAATATAACCTAGGTAAACTAAAAAGAAAAATAAATAATAAATATAATGATAAATAATGTTTATTTTTTAAAACGCTCTATATTTGAGGAAAACGCTTGCGTTCCTAAATGTATGTAGCTATAATCCGTCGGACCGCGACGGGCTTGGCACCACCGCCTTAATATTACGTCTCGTCTTTGGGGATTCCCCGATCTATTATTTTGATGATTTTAATTATACTATAACTATCTAAAACTGTAATGACTCATCGATGTTTACGTGAACATCACTTAACTACCAGTAGTCGGCTGTTCATAGGCGGGGTATGAATGTTTAACATGGGTCACATGCTTAATAAAGAGTGGTTTGAAACATATTGTAAGTCAAAAATTTGGGAATTACCTTTATTCATCGTCGCTTCCACTTACATCTGACAGTAATAAACTGTCGCTATCGCTTTCCTCGTTGAAATTGACTACAACTGGCTCTATGATGGTGTCGATGTGGTGGTCAAGCTGCCACATTTTTGTTTCTTCCTTCACAACATGACGGATAGCATTCTGCCAAGCTTCGGGCGTTACTAGCTGTATGGAAGTCTCAAGTAAAACCTTAACGTCTGGTAATTTGAAGGTTGTGTTATGGCGCGCAATATAACTCTTCACTTGAGCCCAGATGAGCTCTATTGGGTTCAGTTCACAGTGGTAGGGCGATAACCGCAGCACAGTGACACCACATTGACGGGCCATCTCATCAGTCACGTAACTAATCTTCGCAGGTTTGTGCTGTTTAATTTTTTCATAGAATTCCGCTTTCACACATGAATCGTCAAACGGGATTCCTTTTTCGCGCAACCATTGCTGCCTGTCACTTTTTCGAGATCCCGTAGTCGGTACACGTTCGGCTCGACGACTATGGTAGGAAGCATTATCCATGACGATCACAGAGTTGGGCTCAACTCGCTGAAGCACCCCTTGAAACCAGCTCTCGAAGCAGCTGACATTAATTTCGTCATGGTAATCACCTCCTTTCTTAGAGACGAAAATCAAGTCACACTCTTCTAAAAAGCCACTATCGCTACCAATATGAGTTACGATCAATCTTTGACCTTTCCCTGACGGTCCACGAAGACCTGTTGACAAACCTTCAATGCTTGCTTGTCGGTTACTCACTACGTTTTTGTCTATCCAGGTTTTTTTAACTGTGTGACCTGCATTTACCCATGTCTCGTCCAAATAATAGATTTTTCTGCTTTGTCGCCTATATTCAATCATTTCGCGTAGGTATTTTCGACGCCAGGCGACTATTTCAGGTCTCTCTATCAATACTGACTTCCGATTACGCGTTTCGTAACGAAAATTAATTTCGTGCAGGGATTTCCTCATTACCTCGACGCTCATTTGGGGTATAATTTCATTTTCCTTGATCGCTGCATGTACAGCCTTGAGGGTTGGTATCTCATTCCTAAAGAAGAATGAATGTACGGTTCGCCTTAACGCCATTTTGCTATCGTCATCCAATTTAACGGCCTTTCGTCCCTTCAAATTAAACTTTGGATCAGTAGTAGCTCCAGTTTTCTTCTTTTCATGCACCACCCTGCGAATGGTCCACTCTGGAACGCCTGTCATACTTTAACAACGCGCAAGTGCATCCCCCTGCGACATAGTTCTGTTCAGATAATTGAACACGTTGAGCACGATTTCTTTCGCGTCCCTCTTCAGTGCTTTAGGAAGCCGTCTACTTGTTCTCTGGCTTTCAGTACTTCCACTCGTGCCATTTGTACTCTCCATGGTTAAGTATAACCAAAACAGTAACCACAGAAACCACAACAATAACAATCACACAACAATTCTTATAAAAACACACAATATGCGATCGCTCAACGAAACACGTTCCAATGCGTTGCCGACGCCTATGAGTCTGCCGGTCGAGGCGCGTCTTTGATTTCATTGGTTCTACCGGCGGAGAACAATCAGCCATTATTTCCATCTCTGTCTGTGCTGTTGACCACCGCAAAGCCACAGAAACGACATATGTCGTACGCTATACGGCTGTACTGGAAGGAAGCCGGGATCGAGCTCTGATCACGTGTTGATCACGCGTATTAGTGATTACAGTTTTAAATAGTTGTAGTATACCCAGCCTGCCCTGTGTGATATTGATATGTGTCGTAGTCGTGCCGTGGTGCCCGGCGTGGTGTAAAACAACATTACTATTTTTGTATTGTGACTATTGTGTCTCGTTATAATAAGGTACCTATTAGAAGTAATTACATTACTTCTGGCAAAATGTTCCTTGTCATTTCGGGGGCACCGTGAACGTCAAGATGATTTTAGTGGGAATTTTATGGCTCAAGTGAAATTTTTGTCAGACTATGATGATGTTATGAAACAGGTGGTGGAAATGCCTTCTGGATCTATGCGATTTCTTAGCCCAACTATTCAAAATGAATTCATAGATTGCCTTTCAAAAAAACTTACTTTTGAATTAACAAAACAAATAAATTCCGCAAAATTTTTTTCTTTGCTTCTTGATACAACTCAAGATATCACAAAGATAGATCAATTAAGGATAGTCATTCGAACGTGTCACATAATTCGAGATAAAAATCTGCTATCTCAAAAGTTTGAAATCAAAGAAACTTTTTTGGGTTTTTTCCAGTTAAAAGATCATTCTGCTGGAGGAATGACTCAAGAAGTTTTAAATATACTAAAAAATCTAGATATTTCCATTGAAAAAAGGTATGGGCAAGGCTACGATGGAGCCAGTGTAATGAGTGGGGCTTATATTGGAGTAAATGCTCAAATAAAGAGTTCAACAAAATGCCGAATATGTAACGTACATTGTGCAAATCACAACTTAAATTTAGTAATAAATGATGCAGTAAATTGTTGTAAAGAGGTCTCGCAATATTTTGCCACTTTGCAAAATATATATTCTTTTTTTGGTTTAAGTATTAATAGATGGGATCTTCTAGCTTCTTTTACCAGTGAATCCAAAACATTAAATCCAACTCGTTGGTCAGGAAGGATATTTTCTATTAGTGCTGTCAAACTTCGTTATCTTGATATTATTAAATCTTTAACAGAAATAGAGTTACAGTCTCATAAAAAAAGAAAGAGAAGAAGCTTCTTCCATTAAAAAACAAATGTGTTGCTTTGAATTTGTATTTATTTCAACAATGTTGTATAAAATCTTTACCCAGGTTAACTCAAAGGTCCTTCAAAAGAAAAATATTGATTTAAGTGAATCTGTGACTGTTTTAGAACAAGTAGAAAAGAACCTTACTGAATTAAGATCTTCTTATGAAATTTTAATGATTGAAGCTACGGAACTGGCTACAAAATGGAATATTCAACCGGTATTCAGGCAAAAACGTCAACCTGAAGTTAAAAAACACCTTGACGAACTCTTAAGTGATTACAGATTTAATAATACTCAAATTTTATTTAAAATAAATGCTTTTAATGTTGTTATGGACCGTGTTCTGACACAGATTTCTAATAGATTTAGGAGCATGAAAAAAATTAATAAATTGTTTGATTTACTTCGTCCAAAAATTATATTAAGTTGCGATGAAACATCCATTAAAAATAAATGTACAGCCATTTATAACAAATATCCTGAAATATTTGATTGAAATAATTTAATATTTCAGTATACCAATTCGTTAAATGTTTTTAAAACAGACCTTAAGAATGATCTATCAATTAAGGAATATTTCAATATAATTTTAAGTAAGTATGGAGTACTTGAAAGTGACTTAAGTCAAGTTTACTTAATGTTCCTTTTATTTTTTACGTTGAATGTAACTACTGCAACTGTTGAAGGATCATTTAACAAGCTAAGACTTATAAAAAACTATCTTAGGTCTACTACAGGCCAGATTAGATTAAGCGATCTTGCTTTGCTCTCAGAGAATGAAGAAGCCCAAAACCTTGATATAAATGATATTATCAACGAATTTGCAAATAGAAAAGCAAGAAAAAGGGATTTTTAATTTTATTATTGTTTAATTTTTGACTTTTGTTATTTCATTGTTTTAATTTGTGTTACTTCTTGTTTTTATGACAATAAACATTTTTTTTATTATAACATGATGTTTTTAATTCTTAAACATACTCATTAGGGCCCCCAAAAAAATGTTTGCCCCGGGGCCCCAGGACTTCTAGCTACGCCACTGAGCTTAACATATTAAACTCATGTTTGACAAAAATGGATTTAACCTAGTCTGGCTCTGGGGCACTGACTTGATGTCTAGTCATTCTGAAGCTGTACGTGTTGCCTAAATGTCATGACGCTACGGCTATCAGTGTTTGGCGTTGATGTGATGTAGCATCTGCTTCAGTCATGACGTTATTGCAGGTCTAAGCTGTAAATCGTGTACTATAAGTTGAAGGAAACGGCGGTGCATAGGTGCATAGTGAGGATTTGTGTGCTAATAATCTGTGTTGATGAGAATTCCATTGGTTTCTTGACTCAAATACACTTGGTTGAGAATGCAAATTTGCTGAATTTCAGAAAAGAGAGCGATAAGAAATGAAAATGAATGAAAGTATATCAAAACTAACAGGTGAGAAAATATGGTACATGCAGGAATATTTATGTTACGTTACATTTCACATTAATTTTTATTTCCAGTGATTTAAAATTTATAGAAATTTGTTTTTCGATATACGAGTAAAGATGTCTCTTAGTTACACACAACGCGGGTGCGGTGCAAATTTCCCGTAATGCTTCTCAAAGTTTTTGAAAACGCAAAAAAATGGGGAAAACCGTAACGTATAACTTTGAGCATAACCTCTCTTGAGAAAGGACAACACAAATAACTCGCCTGGCACAGCTAATAGATATATTTCATGGACAGCATATTTAGTAATAATTTTCTCACATAGCACATATCACACATGCAGACCAATACACACGATCATCCAGATGTGTCACATATCACAAAACGCCGACGTAAAAAAGTTCTATAAGTTTAATGGTTTGAACATAGTGGCAGTCAGGACACAAAAACTTGCATCAAATATTAGTGAAAAATCGCTGTGAACAAGAGAAGTACCCCGACTCTCTTTAATTTTTTCGTCCCACTACCACCACCACCACCACCACCACACTGGCGAGAAGGTAATCGCGAAAAATTTAGAAAATGATTTGGGTGAAATTTTTGTACTAGGCTACTACTACGCCAAGAACGAAAAAGCTTTGTAGCTTTTGAAAATCGGACCAGTGGCGGCGGTGAAAAAGGCTAAAAATGAAAAAAAAGTCACTTAAACTTTTGTTGAGGTTTCAAAGGCTCTTGGTCATTTTCAGAAATAGTTTTGTAGGGTGTAGGGGCTTGTACGGGGTAGGGGGCTGGAAATACTGCATATTTGGTAATTTTGATGATAAACATGGCGTCAAGTAGATTCACCCTATACTATAAAAGCTGAGCAAAACTCGTCCGAAAAATTCTTCAGGACACTATCAAACATATTTTCCATTCATCTAACAGAAATATGACAGATTAATTTTATATAGTTTGAGATGTAGAGATTCAATATGTATATATAAAGCTTCCGCCTATAAATGGGTACTTCGACAAAATTCAAGACTCTTTATACTTTATTAGTCTCTAGCTTTCAATGGACTATGCCATCTTCATCAGGAGGTGCAATAACATTAAGAAGAAATAGCAACTATTGTGCAAAATGATTTTAAATGACTTACAATAGTATGTGAGATTGTTGCCAAATGTTATTAAAGGTTAAGTTGAGGGAAACATTTAGTAACCTGGTGAAAGCTGGATACATGGTACGAGGGATGTCTTCTAAGTTTTGCACATAGAAACATAGTAGGCCGCGCGGATCGAACGTCAGTACTGAATCTTAACCTCACTCTTTAGTAAACTTAAGTTCAAAGTTTCACAACAATACGTGCAGTGTTCTCACTACAGTGAATTTTTAAGTATCACCAAGTTATTAGAAAAATGTAACTCAACCGAGAACATTTTCGCGCCATAATTTATTACAACTTTCAGAGACAATTATCGCAACAAGAATGCCTTGCTGAGTTACTGTTTTCGGCAATGAAGCGCCACATCAGTCGACAATTTCTCGTTGGATACCCCACTTGTTGACTGAAGAGCAGAAAGCAGCCAGGGTTAATTGGTGTCAAAAAACGCTTGACCATCTCAATTCCGGAAACTCAAAAAAATGTGTACAGCATTGTTAGTGGTGATGAATCGTGGATTTACTGTTATGAACCAGAAAATAAACGACAGTCGGCTGTTTGGGTGTTCTAAGGTGAAGAAAAGCCAACAAAAGTCATCCGTTCTCGAAAAAGATGGTCGCGACATTTGTGTTAAAAGCGGGTCATATTACCACAATTCATCTTAATGAGCAAATAACTGTTACTGCGGATTGGTATTCCACCATTTGTTTGCCAAAAGTCATCACCGAGCTTCGAAAAATTAACCTCGAAAGAAGAATCATCCACAACCTTTTTTTGTCCAGTTTTTTATTCGTCGACTATGTGTTCCCTTCACTGTTGTTTTAAAAACAATTTCAGCAACAATCTCGCCGACTTAGTAAGTAAATATTTCTCTCCTAATTGCTATTTGTTGCTATTGTTAATATTTGTTTCCAACTCCAGACGATGAAGACACAGATCTTCGAAAGCTTGAGAGTTTAAGTTATAAGAGTGTACTTTTGCAATAATTTGCCTTCTACCCAAAGAAATTAAAGGATATCCTCTAACAGTTAAGGCAATTAACTATGAATACTATATATATATACAATTAATTGTTAATTGGGAAATTGTATTTTTTGCCCAACTGGTGGTTGGCAATGGCAATGACTACTGCTCACGTAATATTTATATATCGTAGTTCTGTGAATATACATCTAAGTTTTACTTCGTAATTTACAAATTTGAACGAAGGCGTGGGAAGTATAGAATCAATTTACCTGGCGCTAGTTCTCAGAAGCGCACACCTCTCATCTTCCGCCCTTCAATTTGCATCATGGCGAGCATTTTCATTCATATCAATGACAGGATCAGAGAAAATATTCAAAACTACTAATATGTTACTCATGTCTTCTTCCAAAATACTCTTTTTGTATGTATGTCTGTCGGTCTGTACGATAATCTTATAACCTCATATAACTTGAGCAGAACTGCTCGGTTTTCGATGACATTTCTACACCATGTTACTACTACGCCAAGGGCGCAAAAGCGTTGTAGTTTTTGAAAATCGCTCCAGTGGTGACAGATAAAGGATAGAGAATAGAAAAAATCGCTCAAACCTCGTTTTTGACGTTTCAGACGATCCTGATCATTTTCGAAAAAAAATTGTAGGGGTTAAAAATTGGAGGTTAAGAGTTGCAGTGGGTGGTATATCTCAATTTTTGACTTTAGGCCTATTTCAATAATAGATGTCCTGGGACATTTACAGTTAAAAGTTCTACAGTCGAGTGTCGATAGGTGTGACGTGGTCCCCCGATGGACAAGCGCTGCCGTCTGGGGTCGTACGTCACAGTCGACAATAGTTTCCGCACTGCCGTGGGCTGTGTGCACTGTGCCGATATCGTAGGGAGAAGGACATTCAGTTTTTTGTTAAACATGTTGGAAGCTAACGTTTTTCTCACAAGGACTAACTTGTGCCAAACATAATAAATATAATAAGTTCAGAGTCAACTTACTTGACGTAATTTTTTTTTCGATTACTCCGCCCTGTGGGTACATGGGAAAGCAGGAATTTTGCTCAGGGAGGGCGATCAGCGGCAAGAGATGACTTTCCGTGAAAATGTACCTGCCGCAAAAACTGTTTGAAGAACGAGGTAGGTAATTTTCCCAGGGGGGGGGATGGATAGCAAAACCTAAAAATCCTCAAAAATACACACAGAATCATGCTAAATATGAATAATATGACAAAATTTGCGATCACTTTGTACCGAAATGCGATGTCACCAAATGACATTCTTATATTGAAGTGAAATATTGTCAATGTCAGTCATGCTAATTAGGACCACAGTCATATGAAAAAAATTCCATGTAAAACTCCATACATGTCTTCACCCATACTGAGTTCCTTAACAAAAATAAGAATAGTAACTGTAAATATAAAACACTTCTGTGAAGAGGATGCGTTCAAGAGAAGAGGAGAGGCGTTGGAGAATTTGTACATGAGAAAACATAATGCGAGGCTGTTGAAGGCATTACGGGCAGAAGTTCAGGAAATGAGGACAAAAAGACAGAAGACCGAAGCAAACAAATTAAAAAGACAATTAATCGAAAAGTCGGAATCGAATGTAGGGGATATTGGAAGTGATAAGAGAAAGCACGGTGACAAGAAAGATGATGAGTGATATTACTTTCATGTTATTGTAATTGCAAAACCATAAATTGTTCTTTGCGTTGAACTTCTAAGAACATATTCTATTCATTTGACTGTTATACCTGATATACAGGGTGTCCGCAAAATTGGGGTTTTCCTTTTCAGAAACAACTACCCTTGAAATAACAAAGGTAATGTGTAGTGAAACGAGGGCGACCAAGTAAAAAAAAAATAAAGGAAAAAGTACTCACTCTCCAGTTGACGAGAAGGGCTAAGTACGTCTCTACCCGAAATTATACCGCTCCAACAGAAAATGAAATCAGCTGATGCGCTACCGAGCAGACGCCGGCGGTGGTGCAGACCACGAAAAGAGGTAACAAATATGACCATCGTGCAGAAACCACATTGATTGTCTTACACTTAATGGCACATCTTCTAACAAGGAAGGCAAAATGTTGCGTAAAAAGTCTAGGTATTGGTCCAATCGATTTGGGAGAATAAATGGTCCAATGAGCATACCGTTCACCATGCCAGCCCAAACATTTCACCGAAAATGTTTGTTGAAAATGTGCCCGACGGACAGCGTGCGGATTTTCTACTGACCAAACATGAGTGTTGCGAAAGTTATTCACCCCATTACGCGTGAACGTAGATTCGTCTGTCACCAATATGCACTTCAAAAAGTCCGGATTATTGTCATGTTGATGCAACAACCACTCACAAAACCGCACTCTTGCTGGAAAATCGTCAGGTTGAAGGGCTTGTACACGTTGGACGTGAAACGGATACAGCCCCTCTTCACGCAGCGTTTGCCACACTTTAGTTTTTGATACTTGCACTTCTCTAGCCACGTCTCTAGTGCTTGTTGTTTTTTGAAACGCAATCGATTATACGGGTTCGTTTACCTCTACACGCGTGACCGTAACCGTTGGTTGAAGGTTGCATACTGACCTGACACACTGACCCCGACCCAGTTCTGTCGTCGGGTTGAGCTAGTGTCCTAGTACCAGTCGGGGATGTCGCGAGTCGCGGCTACAGGACGGTATTCAGATATTTTTGATGTTGCAGAGCCCTTTATCTCGGTTAACTTAAGACATTGGTGTATATGGTACTAAGAAAAATTGCTTATGTTTTCAAGATCTACACGTCGTGTAAAGGAAAACCCCAACTTTGCGGACACCCTGTAGATATTACTGCAATTCACTGGACAAGTGTAATTTTTGGATATCTAGTAGCATTCGTAGATATCTTAGATCATTTTCTTTTCTAAACCTTTTTTTGTTTGAATTTTTATTTTTTCACAGAAATTAATCAACCTTATAGCCATGAAAAATTAATTTCTCACAACTAATAATAAGTAGATGATTTTTTTTCAATGCTACAGAAACATTTGTACCTTACTTATTGTCCGTGCCAAGCAAAAAAAGTGTAGTAAATTGTTATGATTTCGACGTCATTCACATTCTTCGGAAAACATCAAACTTTCAAAATAAGACAGCGCAAATCAGAATTGACAAGCGCGAGTACGCATTGCTGCTATTTGTTGAAGCTGATCTCAGTTTATGTTTAATAGCCCAGTGACCGCTAGGTGGCTGACGATTCTGGCTGAATAATAGATACGATCTACTTGCCATTGAACAAATGTTCAGTTTTAACATTATCTGCATTATTCAATCGCAGCGGTGGCATCGCGTTGCGAGTCTTTGACGCGATTATATTGACAGACCAACATCAAAGAATTTATTACATTAACAGTATGTAACATTTTAGAAAACAAAAATTTCAAAACCGGTTAAATACCTAAATTATTTGTTTATGACAAAAACGAACTTTTTACAAAACTGCACTAAATGTCTTGAAACCGGAGAAGCGTCCTATTTGCATGGAGAGGGTAATCCAAAATAAAATTCGAGGTCGAGCCGAAACACATTTATTTGCGGTAAGTTAAAAATTCGATAATTTGAATTATAGCCAACTTTAGAAAAAATTGAGATATCACTTCCAAGATCAAAAATTGAGAATCTGACATAGGCCCAAACTTTGCTAAGAATCCTGACCTCCTTTGCACACCGTGTTCAAGTGGATAAATAAAAAAATATATTGGTCGAAACTGTACATGTTGCCAAAGAGTTGGTGAAGAACCTCCCGAATATCGCAACTCGATACCTCTTTCCATTCCGAAAATATCGACATTTGAATTTGGGTAAACTTTTCCATGTTGCAAAGCAACTGTCCACCAGCTAACATACAAGTAAGGGATTTTTTCTACGTCTGGCAACCCTGGATCTAACCGATGATGGGTGCGTACAACGCCGTACTAGCGGTGAGTGGCGAGGGTAGTCACAACAACGTTGCCACGTTGGCGGATGGTCGGTACACTGTCGATAGGACAGAAGAGAAATAACTAGATCACAATGTTATCAAATGCGTGTTGACTATGGATTAATTACGCCTGACTTGATCTAGCTATAGTCAAATACCAGAATTGATGACAGTAGCAAAAGTCATCGCGCGCCACTGCTTTGACGCTGTTCCTTTTGATTACAGCGACGTTTACCGATATTTACTGTCATCAATTTTGGTATTCTACTATAATTCTTTTGTTATGTATGTTTGCTATTTTTTTCTAAGAGGGGCTTATTTGAGCCGAAGATAGCCTTTATGACTTGATGATTCAGAGTCAACCTACAAAGATTCCAGCCTGTACATCATATATTTACATCACTTTACCACATTGTAGCAATTGTTTCAATCTAGTGTGCTATGTGCTATTATTGTTGCTTATGCTTCTCCAGAAGTATTTCCACAGCGCAGTTAAGGTTATTATTTTAATTAGGTACTCGTAAAATTAACTTTATAATTATAACTAAACAACGTTGTACTTACAATACTGAGAGCATCTACGGGAGCTCCATTATCTAACAGATATTGAACGACGTCCGTATGTCCTCCTTGGGCGGCAAAAAACAGTGGCGTAGTACCTGTCTTTAAAATATATTTTGTTAGTGACTGATTGGAGTAGAGTACTACCAGAGACGAAAGCCTCTCAAAAATCGGGTACCTACGTTGTGTTTAAGTAAATTCTTTTTTCGATGGTTTCAATATCGACCATTTTATAACCAAACGTATTTTTAGAACCATCGCATGTGGTCGAGCAAAACTGATCACGGATTCGTGAAAGATAAAAATGCATCGCAAATCATCTGTCACACGTAAAAATACCCGCCTGTGTTGTGTAGCAAATCCTTGGTTTATTACCCCCTGCACCTCCTCAAAGTGGGTAAAAAGGCAAAAAGTGATTAATAAGAGTGGAAATAGTTAATAGGGTCAGCAGTAAGTTGTCAAGAAAACATTAATTTGTCAATGACCAATGTTTCCAAAAATGATATTATTAGGTAATGGTATTTCAGGTAGAATATTTAAATCAATGGTTAATTTATGTAATAAAGCGTTACAAGTTATTTTAGCAACAAAGTTTGGTCAAATCAAGCGCAAACTATGTACTAAATTGCTATTTAAAATAAGTACGAGATATTTCCTTATTTTTCTTCAAGAATTAACTTTTTTGACACAAAGAAACGCTCCAATAGCTATTTTCAACAACAAAATGATAAACACACCATGGGCGTAGTGAAGAAAAGCATTTACTTATTAATTAAATTCTTTTAGTCAAATTTCTTCTGAAAGTAGTACAAACTAATCTGATGTACCTATTACAGTCTACTTTAAGCTTTAAAATCTTCAAAACTACTGAACTGAAGTACATTAATTTTATATCATTATAAAGGGAATTGAAAAACCTTTAAAATAAGATATCACTCGACCCCCCTTTCCATTTAAGATTTTCGGGTTGCTGTCACTCCCGCCCAGGGGGCTGCACGTGTTAACGTGATTTTTTGCCAAACTTGTGTCCCCCCGAAAACAAAATCGACGGGTCTGAGCGTTTTTCCAAAAAAAAAAACTGAGCTGCCAGTAAATGCGTCTGTTTCGTTTTCGATGCGCCACCCTGTATAGAGAGAAGTCCAATTTTGTCAACTTACGATTCGCTTAGCTTTGGGATCAGCACCCTGCTCTATCAGTTCCTTGACGCATTCGTAGTGACCGTTTGCCGCTGCCAAAATGAGAGGCGTGGTCCCTTCCTGAAAAGAAAAATAATAAAATAAATAAATACCGAAACCTCTCTTACAAATTTTCGTTTTTGTGTTTGAAGTACGCGCCAGGTTTGTATGAATTGCCTTTGGATTGGGATGAAATAGATATGTTTTATAAAAACTCAACAAAACGGTAGACGAAAAAGTGTCCTGTCAGAATTGAATCCCAATCACTTTAAAAGATATATCTTCTTCGATGCTAGATTACCAACCGAGTTTATTTACTGCAATAGCGCTTTCTATCTTTTAGGCAGTAGCGGGATTTCACTTTCATTATGGGAGTGGGTCTGAAAAGTTTAATTTCACACATGTTTTTTATGCTTTTTTGAGCGATACGCTCCTCGAAAAAAATGCCCTTTTTCTGGATGCTGTTATACACATTTGTGGACGCCAATTGACAGAAACAAAACTCACGTATCTACAAGATTATGATGCAAAATTTTATTATTTTCCTTGTTTTTCAATTCTTAAACATAGGCTCATTAGAAAACGGGAAAACAATAGCATCGGCATACTCATCGTCGTAAAAAGCACTTACAATAAGGACGACGTCAAAGACTCTATTTAGATTTCTTAATCAAGCATAAAGGTAGACTTTTTTATTATTGGTGTATTAGATTCACTTACTCATTCTAAATGAAATAATCAAACATAACTTTCATGATTCTCAAGTATCCAATAACACTAATCAATAGCCAAAAAATATCCTAAATAAAATCAACAAAATATTACTATTTTTAATGTGCTAAAACCGGAATGAAACTTATTTTTTCAATATTAGTTTTAGAGATACGGTAATTATATGTGTTCCTGCTGCGACAGTGTTAATATACTGTAATTCACAAGAATGCACGTGCTACATTTTTATATTCGGCAAGGA